GTAGTTTTAGCTAGTACGTTTAAATACTTATTTATATATAGTCTTGGAGCCAGACGTATATATTTCCTAGTCTTGTATTAAAACGCTTCGGCAAGTATATTTCCCGCGTTTAGAGCATCAAAAATAAAGACACGCATGCATGGGGGATTAATTGCGAACTCCCTTACATGCATACATAGCTTTAGGTTTATTCGGTCCGTCCTCGCCTCAAATCAAACTCCGCGAAAAAAAAATTTGATCCATGGCTAGCTGGTTTTTTTTTTTTGTAAATCGATCATATGATCGTATATACAAGGGGTGCCCGGGGGGGGGAATTCAAAAAAAAGTTCTAGACACATGTTACGTCTTCGAACTTCAGGGTTATTCGTTGAAAATTAAGCAGGATCGATGGTCAACGGTGTTTATATATATTGGGTTCTTTTAGATTGATATTGTCGTGGGTATCCTTGATACGGAAATACGGGTGTCTGTAAATATATTTATTTATAACCAGGACAAAAAAAAAAGTGAGCTAAAAACAACGTTTCAATAGTGGCGCGAATCGATAGAATAGTAGAATTCAAAACTGAAAATGTAATAATTAAAAATTATGATACCTTCAAAAGTATATATAACAGGAGAAAGGAAAAATAAAAAAAAAAATAAAAAAAAGAGGAAGTAGAAGAGGAAGAAATGTCTAAAATATGTCGTCGCCTTCATAGGTTGTTTTTATTTCTTTATTTCCTCTTCTCGGATACCTCATCTTCAGCCTCATCCTCACCCTCATCCCGGGGCATAACCATCCCCATGGACCGCAACATATTAGCCGCCGGTCCCGCGTCTCCACCCTGCGCCTTCAAACTCTCGAGCATATTCCTCGCGATCTCATAATTAAGCTCGGCATCGAGATCGTGGCTTCTTGGCGGACGTTGTTGCTTATGCTTCGTGCGACCTCTTCCTTCATCCACACTTGCGCCTGGCCGGTTCGGGTCCAGCGCGCCGGCCGCTACCAGTTCCTGTTCCATCTTGGCCATTGTTTGACGTATTGACTGTTCGTCTTCGTCATCGTCTGAGATTTCTTCTTCTTCGTTTGGTGGGGTGTGGGGGTTGGATTCTGCGGGAAGGCCTGTAGTAAAAGAAGAAAGAAAAAAAAAGAAACGTTAGCGGCTCCAAAACATAAAGTAAACGTTAACGATGTTTTGAATATAAACGTACCCATCATCTCTCGCATCATCTTTGAGAACTCTCGTTCATCGAAGCTAGCGTCCCTGTCTTCTTCATCGGTGCTGATATCGTCTTCATCATCGTTGATATCGTCGTCGTCATCACTGTTGAACCTGTCATCGTGATGTTGTCCGAATCGTACCCCGCCATACCCCGCCGAGTCGTCATTCATGAACTTCTCAAAGTTCTCCACCATCTTTTTGAGCTTGTCCTGCTGCTCTTTATCGCTGAACGCTGACTTTTCAAAAAATGGTGCGGAAGAAGGTCCTTGGGTCCTAGTACTGGTGCCGGCCATGTTTGCTTCGAACTCCTCGTAGTCTACATCCAACCAATTTTCAGAATCAACCTGATGATTCCAGGACTTTATATCTTCGTCAGACGGCAGCAACGATGCCGCAGAAGCTCCGTTCAGACTATCCATAATAGTCTTCGCCTCCGCGGCCAATCGGCCCTCCGTCTTGTTTCTGTTCCCTGAGACCAGGAGTTCCAATCCGCAGGTCAGCTTCATACCCAGTTCCGACGCGGGGAACTGAGGCGATTCCTTTCCCGGGAGGATAAACGGCCTAGGTGGACGAAAGACCTGTTGTTTCAACTGGGCGTAGGTTATTTTCGTGAATCGAACAGACATTTCAACGGGGTCTCGTGGGGGGAAAGTCGGCATTGTGTTGCATATCTGTTTCAAGGGCCACCGTCACCCCTGGTTAGCTTAACTGGAACCCTTGACCTTGTTCAGCCACGCGTCAGGGCTGCGTTTCGGGGGCTGCAGAACCCCACCACGGTTGCACGGTTGGAGTGGAAATGTTGGGTTTTTCGCATGGTGGGGTGCGGGAAAAAAAGGGGAAGTTTTGGCGAACCTTCAATTGAACTGGATCCCTTAGGCAGAATACTTCGACAATCGTTGATATTAATTTCGGTTTTTCATGTAAGATTTTAGCTACCGTGCGAGGAACAGTAACACGAGCATGATGAAAATGGTCGTTTAGAGCAGCGGGATAGCTGTTATATCGATATTAGCTAATCGTTTCAAACCCCGTGCATACATGCATATTTTTTTTTTTTTTTTTTTTTTTTTTTTTGTTGATAAACCAAACAAATCAGGAAAGGAAACCAAAGAGTCTTACTTTGAAATGCGGTAGAAGGCTTCTTCCTCGACGAGTTGTATATGAAGCAAATCGGCTTGGGACTTTTCGAGAAACCTGATTGCATCTTTGGCTCTCAGCGAACTTAACTGGCCAGCTTTGGCTGCTGCCCGTTCGTCTTTGGATCTAGGTATAATTCGCAGTGCACCATTGCTTATCCACACCTAATTATAGAAGACAACCTTTTCAGTATCCCGGTAAGTTATGTCAAATTAAAGGAGGCAAGAACAGCCTGTTCGTACCCTGTTGTCCGCAACTTCAGGACTTAGCCATTTAGGAAGTGCATGGGCTGCTTCGATAAGCAGGAATTCACCATCCGTATCAGTTACACTGTTCAACTAAGTTAGAAAAAATGCCCTCGCGAAAAGCCTAGTGCGGCAGATAGGAGAATTTTACCGTATCCACAACTGGGGAAACAGTTTGCTGATCTCCCTCAAGAGGAAGACTGTGAACCACTCATCATCGATGGATTCTCCGAATTCTATCCGGCCATGAAGACATGCGATTGCTGACCGAAGCAGGAGGAGACCGTTAGATAACCATTTGGAGTTCTCGAGGATGCAATTTTTTTTTTTTAAAAAAAAGGTGGAAGAACAAGATCAAGCTTTGAGAGAGACTTACCATCATTCTCAGCAATATTAAGTTTAAACTCGTCTCTCTGCCAGATAAAATCGTCCGTAAAAGGCTTGATTGCCTTGAGGATATCTGGAAGTAGTTTTTCTAGCTCAGACTTGACATCATTCTGCGATGCGGCAGCTGTAGATGTCGGGACCAAGTGAATATAATAGTCGACTGTGTCCTCGACTAGTGACTGGCGTGGGAGGCTTCCCAGGCCTAATGAAGCAAAATCCATAACGAACAAAGCAGGAAAGTATGCAGCTTTGAAAGATTTTCGTTACAAAGAAAACGATGAAAGAGATAAAAACAAAAAAAGAGAGAGAAAGAGAGAAGGATCTGGTCGATAGAGAAAAAGTGTGGAAGATCGATTGGTCATTTATGAACTTCACAGTCCTGCCGAGGATAGCTAAGTAATCGCGAAAGCTGGTTGCCTTCTGGCGAGTCAGGTCTCTGGGTGCTTGGATTGCCGTAGCGTGGGCAGCGCGTGGTAGAAAGTGGAGACCCGGGCGGATCGGAGTGAGGTCTTTCGTTCAGGGATATATCATGTCCTCACTGCATGACCCGGGGCGTAGGAAGGGTTGTGATTCGCGGATTGGACGTCCCATGCACCCTCCAAACATGATATGATGAGTATATACAGCTCTGTCGCCAGATACCGGGGAGGGAACCAGGGTTGGAGTAAATAGGCAGCCAGCCAGGGCGTAGAGGCCGTATTTCGTCTGAAGTTTGTCGAGGATGATGATGATGAGGGTTGAGGTTGAATTGAGGGTGAGGTTTGACAATATTTGATAGCAGGTTAACATTAACGTTGCAAGTTGAAGTGCCTCGTGTTACCTCGCCCGAAGCAACAGGATGGCAGTCCGGTTGCTAGTCTTAACCCCGGACGACATGTCCAACACAAACCAAACCCTGTCGATATGTCCAAGTACTATGTCCTGGACACAACATGCAACTGCTTCAGCTTGGACCACCCCGGTCTTCGCCTAGATGGCCATGCAATGGCTGGCCCCGTCAATGCAATACCGTCACAATTCATACATACCATACGCAGGCCTGGTATGGGTTCGGATCCCTTCGATCTGAACTATCTCTGGCTAGGTAGGGAAGATGACATGCGTATGCATCTCGCCCGATGGCTTGCATGCGGTAACCCTTCAACGATGCAACCCCCCCCCTTCCTGATGGCCCTAGCTCAACTCTCGCTTCTTTTCTGGGCAACTTTTACCATGAGAGCTCGGGCGTCAAAACTACTTACACAGTACTTACACTTCCGTTCCCCGCTTTTGATGAGTTTCGATATAGAATACATCTATCGGAGACCCTCGATAATCGCTTGGTAACTAAGAGTCGAAACCTTCTACGAATGAGATTCGGTCTAGGCGTTCGCATTCGGTAAAGTACATCACCCGGATACGAAGCTATAGCTATAGTTCGGATCAAATATAGAGGTGAAGCTAGGAGAGCGGAAGCAAGAAAAAAAAAAAAAAAGGAAAACAATGTCAACTCCTTTGTCATCACACGAGCGGAAGACCTCACTCGCACGGATACACCACGAACTAGGGATACCAGCTCTGCTATATTCGCCACGAGATGTCAAGCTGTTACTCATCACACGTTCCATCCGTCTCTTTGCATACGGCCAAACCACTCTGATCCTCGCATTATTCCTTAAGGCGCATGGCATAACCCTCAAGGGTATCGGATTATTTATGTCCCTGACCCTATTCGGGGACGTTGTCGTCAGCCTTCTATTGACCCTCGTTGCGGATAAAATCGGCCGCCGGAGAATGCTAGCTTTCGATGCATTATTAATAGCAGCAAGCGGCACGGTCTTTGCATTCGTAGGAAGCTATTGGATACTTGTCGTTACAGCGGTTGTCGGTGTTATAAGTCCGAGGTCGGTAGTATTAGATATATGATAAAAAATTGCAAGAAGCGGCAAGCGCTGATGGAGCTTTGACTCTTTTATCTCATGAAATAGTGGGAACGAGATTGGCCCGTTCCGTGCCATAGAAGAGAGTACTATTGCATCTCTTGTTCATGCAGATGAAAGAGCAGACCTCTTTGCATGGTATGTCCTGCTCGGGACATTATCCAGAGCTCTAGGAAACCTAGTTTGCGGCTGGACCGTCACAGCTCTTCAGAATTCGGGCTGGGACCCTCTGGACTCCTATAGGATCATATTCTTGAGCTACTCGGCCTTGGGGATTACAAATATCTTGATCACATCATTGCTGTCAACTAGATGTGAAGATCGAGATCAAAACTCTAAATCTCACGCGGAAACCGGGCCAGAGTCCCAACCATTCCTTGATAACGGCTCTATTGTCGACGGCGATGGGGACGGCGTAGACTCCCAAAGAATCTCAGACACCCCACCTACCCCTCCCAAACCCACCCTGCTCCAAAAACTCACCTCCCTCTTCCCGCACATAACTCCACAATCCCGTGGCATTCTCGTCAAGCTATGTCTCCTCTTTGGCGTCGACTCCTTCGCCAGCGGACTCATGCCCGCCTCCCTCATAACCCTCTACTTCCACGACACCTTTAACTTCCCGCCAGGAGCTCTCGGGACTCTTTTTTTTACTACAAACCTCGTAAGCTCCGCAGGAAATCTCATAGCTTCAGCCGTAGCCCGCAGGATAGGGTTAATAAAAACCATGGTATTCACACACCTCCCGTCTGCTATATGTCTATGCTTAATACCTGCGTTCCCGTCCGTCTACCCCGCTGTCTTTTTCCTGATAATAAGGTCACTACTGGGGTCGATGGATCAAGCTCCGCGGTCTGCATTCCTGTCTGCCGTGATGAAACCGTCGGAAAGAACAGCTGTGATGGGTATTGTTACAGTGACGAAGACGCTAAGTCAGTCTGCCGGCCCGTTTGTGACGGGAATTATGGGTGGCACTGGCTTGTTTTGGGTAAGCTTTGTGATCAGCGGTGGATTGAAGGCTGGATATGATTTGAGTCTTTTAGTCATGTTTACAGCCCTACATAACGTTGGGAGGAGTGAGGAAAGAAGTAGAGAAGCGGAACAGGAGAGTCAGAATTCAAGCCCGAGGAGGAGTCAAGATGACGACGAAGGCGAAGATGAAGACGATAATCGGATCCTGCAGAATTAATCCCTAAGTGTTACCGGATGCCCAAACACTTGAACTTAGACATATATAGAATTCTAGAAGATTAAGTATATATATATATATATATGGACTTAGATCATCACAATACGCATCAACTGCAATTCGGGGTATCTCCGGTTGTTGTTATTTGCCTTTCCATTCAGTTCACTCCCACATTGATCTAATCACACTACAAAAAAGTCCGAAACATATACTATCCAGAGCCTGACAAGAAAAGTAAAAGGACCATCCCACCAATCCCAATATAAGCCAAGACAAGCTCCAAAGCAAAACCAATATTGCGAAATTTTTAAAACGATGAAACAGTTGAGCGGCCAGCTGTTGTGAACCGTCAAGGACAGAAAAGACTGAACTAGAGAAATAAATAACGGCCTGAATGATTGAAAAAATGCGCTAACGACTAGAAACAGTCTTGATGCGGAAAAGAGGACCGGGAATGAATATTGACAGTTATCTGTTTAAAAGGGTACAGAAGAATGGAAATGAAAGGAGTTAGTGATAAGAGAGTGAAAGAATTGAACTTGAATATTAGTATGTGCACAACCGGGTATAGTGACTTTTTTTGTACATCCCATAACCTAGCTAAATTAGTAAGTAATCAATAAGAGAGAGAAAATCATAAGAACCCCAAACATAAAGCACAAAATGAAACGAGTTTTGTCTTGGAATCAATCACACTGCCATGATGGATTCAGGACTCATCATTCCGGGAGTATTATCCATATCCTTTTCTTCAAATTTCTGAACGCTTCCACTATTATTTTCTTCTGATAATGGGGGTGTTGCAGTGGGTGCGATGATAGCAGTGGAACCTGCTGGAGGAGGCTTTGTAGCCACGGGGGGAGGTGGGTTTGGGCGCTTCTTTTTCTTGGAGTTCCCGCCCTGCCCCGAGACTGCCCGTTTTCGTGGGGTAGTAATTTTGCCCTATGAAAAATTAGCGTTGGTCTAAAGATATGAGAGTTGATGGGCACAAGTGACATACGGTAGGTGGTAGCCTTGGCTTCGGAGCTCTTTGTTTGATTGGGAGATCTTCGTCCTCGATAAGCGGCTCGTCGCTGTTCGCATGGAGTTTTGCCAGGAAGAAGTTTTGAACAAGCCCAATTTGGTCTTTGAGGATCTCGCGGGAGAGAGGCTCGAAAGGTGGAGGTGCCTTGTACTCCGTATGGGGAACAGCAGGGTTACTGTATCATGTTAGTAAACCTGATAATTTAGGAGCTGAGAGAGTTCACCATCATACATTGCGCTTTGAGTTTGGTAGTTGCTGTTAATCCGGGTCTGAAGGACTCGCATAAGCCCGGAAGAGATGGACATTCCAAACTCCCTTTCCAATCCAAGATCCTTGAAGCCGTAGTAGTCGTCCCCGATATCGTCCGTGAAATCACCGTTGACAAAGTGTCTCATATCTTCCTCAGCAGCTTCAGGGTTCTCGACATCGTTCAAAGCGGGTCGCTATATAATGTATTAGTAACGGCCATGTGTTAATAGAAACGGATAAGAAGCTCACTAGAAGGTCAGCCAAATGGGCACGCATGCGGTCGTTCAATTGTGACAGCTTGCCTCCTAGGCGTTCCACGTCGTCTCTGATATAGCTCTCGAGCGACTCGATTTCAAGGCCATTTTCAGCTAAGGTGTGGAGGAGGATGTCCTAAGTTATGTTAACAGCTGAAGCAGGACGGCTGATGAAGGTACTTCTTACATCTGGTGCAAATCGCCCTGTTGGAAGAACAGCTTCCGAATACAACATTATTGTCTGGCCCATCTTCTTAAAAAAGCTGGTAGCAATGTCGGTCACAAGGTCAAATGCCGTGGGCTGGAAATCCTCGAATCCGGCATGATAGAATACCTTGGCGATGGAGCGTTGAAACGCGACCCTGTTGATATCCTCGGAGTAGACTGGCCCATCTTCAGAGATCAAAAAATCTTCCGGCTCCTTCTCAACAAACTCTTGAGGATCGTATTTAGCGAACTGGTTGTTGTATACCTGAGTTTGGACCTGCATTTGTTTGATGACACCGATCTTATGGCATATTTTTCGCGTATCCTGCATCATTTTCATATTCGAATCCATATTTCTCGCCAGACCTGTCGGGGGTTGTGTAAATCCCCCCTTTGGAGCCAGACGCCTGAAAGTTGTTAGGTTTTTCTTCCTATAGGCGGCGAAGTTACGCGACTTACAAGTTATCGTTGTACCGGTCAATTTCATCCTCATCGTCACCCAGCCACTGCAAATTATATGGTAATTCTGGAACACCGTCGAGAATCTTATAATAATTGGGCAACAATTCATCTTCTTCTTCAGCGTGCTCCTCGACTGCGACGGCAAGCGGTGCCTTGATATCCTTCGTAGCAGCGTCCTTGTCTCCGTGGGAGAGTTCGGACCTTATGTAACGGCCCATACCAGCTCGCGTTCGTATTAAGGCCGGTTCGTCAAGGTTTATCTTGGTTCCACGGAAGAGCTTATGCCTCTCGCTCTGAAAATCATAATAAGCCTCACTTCACCATCATCCTGTGTTATAAATTCACTTACTGCTGCCCGGGCTCTAGCTTTCTTCGTCATAGTTTTCCAAATCTTGTACTCAGGGTCAAGGTCATCATCAACTTCATACTTCTCAATCGTGGGGTCGAGATCCAAAGTTGATATGATACCATTACTGGGCGTGTGTGCCAGTGCAGGGCTTCCAAACCCGTTCTGAGAGCCAAGACCACTCGTCTCTGCCAATATATGTCCTGGAACGGGACTATCCCTAGCTTTAATATCTGGAACACCCTGTATATTGAGGGTCGGAGGTTTGGCCTCAGGGGTGCTCTCAGTCCGTACGGGCTTTGCTCCTCCCTTCTTAGATTTGCTAGTTCCGGGAGCCTTCCGATTCATTCGGGACGACATTATAGGTTCTTTTGTTTTTATCGCACAATTAGCGTACGTACTTCCCCAGCTCATGACTTGCACACCAACTCCTTACCATCGTCGCTCTCGGCATCAGCATCCTGATCATGTGCACCTGCTTCTTCGGCTTCAACCTCTGCTCTATCACGAATCGTAATGTCGGGGATCAAGGGAATGAGATTTTGCGTCATCTTCTGCATCGCGATGGCGTGTTTTCGTAAATAGTGCTTCGGATCTGCATTATACTGTAGGCAGTTCTGCCATATGAGATTCACATCATCAATGAATTCCCTTTTGCTCTTGTAGGCCAGCTGTTTGAGCTTCTTCATAACGGTTCCGAGGTCCATAGGTTGTTTGATAACTGGTTCTTCGTTAGGGACTATATAACACCCGTTTAGAGGACAGAAACTTACTATTAAAGTAATCGGGGGCTTCACGCTTGTTCACCCTATTAAGGAATGCCGTCGAGTGCTCTGTCTGGGCGCGAAGCTCAAGTACAACCTTCTCGGCAGCTTCGTATAGTTCTTCTTGACCAACTTTGTCTTCACTTGCCCATTTCGACCGATTCTTTTTCACTTCAGACATCAAATTTCGCAATTCCATGTCCGACACAGCTACACGTTCTCGCTTCGCATCAATCCTGGCAATCAAATGCTTGAGTGTCAAGCTTGAGGCTCCCAAGTTCGCATTGCTAAGCTTTCCAGGCGCACCCTGCGCATTCGCTTCAGCATTAACTTGCCGATCTGACTCGTCTAGCTTTTGCTGTTCCAGCATGGCATCCCTATCACTCTCCAATGTGTAGAACATTGTCGAAAATGAGAGCTTGGCAGCATCTTCCGCGGCCTTCTTATCGGCTTCAAGCTTCTCCCGGGTGACGGTAGCACTGTCCTTCCCAGAAGGTGACTTTGTACGGTCCGGGGAAGATATCTGAATCGTAGGTGGGATTGGCGATCTTGGTTTCTGCACGGGTGGCGGCGGCGCTTCATCTTCCTCTTCGTCCATATCATAGTCATCATCTTCCTCAGCTCTTCGCGCCCTGATAACCGGCGTAGATTTTTCTCCATCTTTTGATACTCCATTTGGTAGCAAGGTATCGACCTCGCCATCATTCGGTTCTTCTATCCCCAGCAACTCATGCACTGTCAGTTCTGTAGCGCAACATGGCCGCCCGCTAGGAAAGATAGCGGCAATGGTCTTCTCGAACTGCGCGTAACGAGCGCGACATGCCGCCGTTAAGGGATCGATTGGTTCTTCCTTTTCGGCCTCCGCAGGATCGATCGAGTTTGTCCGCGTCCTAGATCGCTCATCCCGGAGAATCTGGACCCGGAGATTCGTCGACGGGTAGGACGACATGTGCTATAGACCGCCCGGATTCGACGTGTACCCCAATTTATAGATGGTTGGAGGTGAATTAGAATCCAAAAGGGGGGTTGGGTTCTGTCTGTTAACGTCTAAGGGAGGGAAACCCTGAAATATATCACGTTATCGGGTATCCTCCCTCGTCGCGCAGTTCCGACAGTTCGGACAGAAATGATAGGTTGCAGAAAGGCGTTTGGGAGCGGATTAACTCATAGCAGGCGAGAACCGTGGCCATGCAAAGGAACGAACGACTTTCTACGATGAAATTACAAAGTTTGTGGGCAGAAGTCTTGATAGGAGTCGCCGGGTGTGATTCCGATGTGCTGGATTGATGAGGCAGATGTTTGTCGTTGGTGTTGTTGTGAAGTTGCGGCTGCAGCCGCCAAACGCGGGTCATCTTGCTTGCCTGCTGGTTCCAGCCGAGGGACTGAGACTACGCCGGGGCCGGTGTAGCATCCAGCCCTAGCAAATGCCGAGCAGATATCACATGGAGGGGCCACGAGACGATCATGATACAAATAACTCCAAGGACAGAGTCGTTAACTGCATTTCACGGAAATTGTTCTATACGGCAGTTTTGTATCTCTTGTTGGAACAAGCTGGCCTATCGATTACCAGGCCAAGATGTCTACTGGTGCAATATAATACCAAACGAAACGTCCCTCCATATATCGTATATCCGCACGCTAAATTTACAAACAAAAGCATAAAAAACCCCTATAGACACCATCTGAAGTACCCGGTCTAGCATTAACATTACTAGGATTGAGCGGGGAGTGATCCGAAAACATGAGAACACCTGCGTGGAAAGTCGCTGTTCTAACAGGAAGAACGATTGAAATGCTGGGACACACATACATACAACATACACACTGGACGCCAATGAAACCCTTCCTTTGAGAAACCACGGTGATTAGAATGCCCAAGCCAGTGTCTATCATAAACAAATCCCCTCGTACAAAGAAGTGAAAGAAGAAAGGCTCCAAAAGAAAAGGGAAAAAGGGGACAAAGAGGGCGGAACAAAAGAGAGAAAACGAAGCAGAGTCCCACGCTCGAACCCCAAATCTAAACGAAAACCCCAAATACAATGTCTTTTTGATTATACCCTGATTATCATAGATGATTGTCTTGCCTTTTTGATCATCTTTATCATTACGGCGTCGACGCCCCAGTAATCTTGCTGCTGCTATCGTCTGAATTAGTATCTTTTATCGAGTTTCTTCGCGCAATATCTGCGTCATCCTCATCACGATTGACAAAGGTCCAAGACTCCTCCGCAGAATCGGATGCCTCTTGCTGTGGGTTCTTGATGAGAGATTTTGCATATTCCATATCTCGGTAAATGGCTTGAATAGCCGTTTGTACTCCATCCTCCTATCCGAATCTATTAGCATTTTGCCTAAGGAATGTTGGCTGGTTTGCTGGTTGGTTGATGAACTTACTGATCGAATTTGTTCGCCCAAGACCCGAGCTTTTGTAATCATACGATTGCTGTTTGTAGCTAGCCACATAGCTTCGGCTAATGTCTTGACGTTTAATTTCTTTAAACAGACACCAACTCCGAGATCCTCTACTCTTCCACCAAAGAAAAATTGATCCCCGAAGAACGGGCTAATAACTGTAGGAAGACCAGCTCTCAAGCTTGCACCTGTCGTACCGGCGCCACCATGATGTACTGCAGCGTCGATATGCTTGAAAAGCCAGTCGTGAGGGGTCGCCTTGATTGGAAGAATACAGTCAGGGAGAGGTATCTCAGGAGTACTGGCGTCCTTTCTCCCCAATCTATCGGACCACCCTTTGGAGAGCAGGCACCTAACTTCAGCCTTTACAACGGCATCTACAACAGTTTGTGTGAGTGCCTGAGGATCAGCCACGACAATTGACCCAAAGCCGATATAAACAATAGGCTTCCCGTCCTCCCTTGCCTTGCGCATAAATTCAATCATTTCCGGTGACGGTTCGAAGTTTGATTGACTCTCGTCCAAAAACCAGTATCCCGTGACTCTGATCCAATCACTAAAGTCCAGAGGAGGGATAACGACGTGAGGACTGAAGTTATACAAAAATGGGACCTTGTTTGGTTGCATCTTATCGAGACTAGTGCTTTTAAGATGAAGCTCCTTCTTTCGCCATCTGTTGACCTGGCTGGCGATAGCTTTCCAGAATACATTGTCGAACATGATGTAAGAAAAGTAGTTATATGCACCTCCCATTTTGTGGTCAGGGACAGCAAAAGCATGAGGGTATGCTCGAGTTCGAGTCCAGGGCATCGTAAAAGCACGGAAATAGGGGATCTTCATCGCTTCGGCGACATGGATACCAGCCATCGCACTGGGGCTCTCAATAAGGACATCGGAATCCTGACAAGCGGCCCATGCTGAACTAAGAAGATCGTCGATCCATGTTCGGAATTTCCCTGCCGCTTCCTTGAGGAAGGAAATCGTAAACATACCATTTTCGACACATATTCTCATCAATTCAGCAGGGTCGCCAGCAACTTCTCGAAACTCGATACCATGACTCTCCACCCAATCTTTGAATTCAGCGTGGGTTGCGATTCTTGCTTTGTGGCCTTCCTTCATGAGACCCTTGCAAAGAGCAATATAAGGTTGGACGTCACCTCGTGAGCCGATTGTCAAACAAGTGAATCTTAAAGGCTCGCTAGGCTTGAAGTGGATGATAGATGTGTGCGGATCGTCAAATACTATTGGCGGCACATCCATGCCATGGCCCTGAGCCACTTCGTTCGTTGTATGCGGAAGTTTCATCTCGTGCTCTAGATGTCCTGCCTCTAACCTGGCCTCCTGTAGCATATCATGCTCCTTCTTCGCGATCTCTGCGTTCGCCTTTTGTTCAGCAGTAATCAACTGGCTCTCGCGCATTTGCCGAGAGTTATCTATAGCTTTCGCCAACGTGCTTCCGCAGTCATCCCGGTTTTCTAGACCCGCAAACTCAAAGAAGAGCTCTTCGTGGCCGCGAATGGTCACGACAAGCCCGTGGTAACTGAATCGGAACCCTTTCTCCTTATCGACGTTCTCAATGTCGCGAAGTGGCAGAATCATCTTAACGATTAACATGTTAGTAGTTTGAAAAACATCAACGGAAGCACGAGTTCTAGATGCATACGTACCCTCGTTCTAGTGCCAGGTACAATACTCCTGAAGCAGAAGTGCTGATCACCAAGATATATTTTGCCGTATAAAGGCAGGACGCGGGATAAATAGCCAAAGTAAACTGCAATAAGATTTTCTGATTCGGGAAGAGCGAATCTTTGTCGGAAACGTTCAGAAGGCGTAGCTGCTCCTTCATCCTCATCATCAGCATCCACATCGCCAGCTGCGTCAGCGTTGGGTATCGGCCCCTGGTCATCATAATGTTTCCTTCCACCAGTCCACATATCTGAGACTTTGCCGAAGTAGCCCATACCTCCAGATGCTACCCCCTTCGATCGGCGCTTCATCCAGTCGGCAATGCCCTGGGCCGAACGTATGGGATACGATCCCACCCTGTACACGTCTCCGAGACTAGGACTAGACAACGAAAACCTCTTGTCGGAGGAGGTTCTCTCTTCTAGAGACGGCCGACCTAGCTCACCCGGGGAGGATTCAATCTTCTTGACAGATCCTTCCGGGACGTTAACAGGAACTCCTAAGTCTGTGGCGGCTCTCGAGGGCGGATGAATATTAAGCGGGGGCGCCGGAAGGGGATCGATAGTACCGGCGTTATCCTTCAGCGTCGGGGACCTACCCCTATTGATTCCAGACGGGTCGGTGCCAGCGGGATATGATTGTTGGAAAACATCACTTCTCGATAAGAACTGGCTAGCTGCCAGTTCTCCTTCACTTTCTGATGACATGGGGATAGCATCAGACGACTCAGCCAATGACGACGGCTCACTCTGCATCGACTTTACGAATGAGCTGGATGACATTTCTCGCGATGGGGATGCTGCCGCCGATCTAGGCGGGGAAGCCTTGCGTCCCTTTGTTTTTCGTCTGAAAACGCTCGCGATCGAGGAACTCCGGGCTTCATTGTTATCCATACTTTTTCTGGAAAAGTCGATGCTCCGCCGATTGGTTACGTCAAAACTTCGACGGGCATATTCGCCGCTGGTTCGGGGACTACCGACCACCGGAGATGTAGGCACGGGAAGTAAAGTATCTCGAACCGCTTCTCGGAGCAACGGCGCAACGGGGCCGTCCAGGCTCTTGAGGTGAACTGTTGCAGCTGGCCAAGCGGGCATACCCATTACGAGCGAATGCCGTATAGACTGTCCAGTAGGCGATGAAGGAGCCATTTCACGAACCGGTGAGCAGCCAAGACTTGCTCTCTTCGAATTTCCCCGAGTTAAAAGATGTTCCGGAATCTTTTGGGCCGTTGTATCTTCCACCAGTAGCCTAATAAGCTCGAAAGCCTCGGCGCCGAACGAAAAGAAGGAAAAAAAGTACTAGATGCGCCAGTCAGCAGGCAGTTGGATTCGCTCTTAGGTCACACACTCACCTCGTCAATAGCGTACGACTCATCATCAGCCACAACCTTCAACTTGAAGGTCTCTGCGAACTCGATGACAGGACTTTTCTCGATCTCAAGTACATTCTCAATAGGAATGACAACCTTAACACTATCGCCATCATTGTGAATCCGAAAGATTACTTTTTCTAAGGCCTTGGTCCATTCGGCAGCGCTTGTCGCGGAGTCTGCTTTGAATTCGTACTTTCTAGAATTGGTGACGAGTGCAAAAGAATGATCTTTGCTTCCTTCATCGACATAGGCATGTATCGCATAGCGAAGGTCAATATTACCGCTCGGGAAGTAAAGATCCGAAGCATCCGCGTAATAGGAGAGAACGTCTCCTTTCAAAGTAAACCAATACCGGCCGTAACGGGGATTCTTCCGGCCGCGTTTATAGAAATGTCCTGATTTTAGGACGGCGTCCTATTTAAATTATTAGATGTCTGTAAGAGACACTCTAGGAGTAAAACATACCTGATGCTTCGGCATATAAGCGAAGAAGCAAATATGACGATCCGTAAGGTAGATATACCCTTGAAGGAGAACGGTTTTAAGCAGCCAACAAGGGTATTCTAGGTTATAAAAATCAGTTTGCAGACTTCATCTCTAGAAATGTAGCTCTATCATACCGGATTTCACCTCCTCCAATTCTGGAAGGTTAAAGATGACTTTAACTTTCTCCGAGAGCGCAGTTGGGGAGATCGAAAACTCAGGGAATAATACATCTTCGCCTCCAACTTCCTGGGTAGCCTCCATGGCCGAGTTAGTAGCGGTCACCGTTGACTGTGCTAAACTAGGGACCTCGCCTGCCGGTGATCGTGAAACGGACGGGAGGATGGATGATCCTTCGCTAGAAGGCAGCTCTGTCGATGAACTGATATCCTCGGAAGCAGAAGGGGTAGTCGAAGTTGCTGAACTTGACGTATGCTTCGATTTCTTATCATGGCGTTTCTGTTGTATTGATTTTATTATGTTCCTAGGTAGGAATTTACTCTCGCTGAGCCGCTTTGAAGCTGCGGTATCATGCTTTTCAGGGTCTGTAACAGCTTGGGTGCGTTCCTTATTTGCACTTTCCAAGCCTTCTTTAACAACAAAGTTCTTTGCCATCTTCCTTTGTTTTGTTTCTTCATCACCACTATCCTCTTCCTCCGCTTCTTCGTCAATATCAGAATCGAACCTGTGAAAATCGGCTTTCGAACCAGCGGCTTGAATCATCTGAAAGACAGACTGATGCATGCTAAAGTTTCCACCTCTAGCAGATAATGTCACATCTTTGAGATCATCTTCGGTAGCTATCTTGAAACGTTCTGGTAATGCTGGTGAGTGGGATCTGGGTCGTGCACGCCGAGGTAAATCAACACGGTCCAACCGTGTTGGCCGATCCTCGACTTCGGACGACATTTTTGTATTAATCTACGGATAACGAGAAGGAGTCGGGCTTCGTATGTACGGTTCTGATTTGGGGGAGCAGTTCGCGGTGTGGCGGCGGTAGAGCAGATATCAGAAAGAGGGTGTCAAATTGGCTGGTCCGTGTGACCTATGGTTCGACAGTCAGCATACCCATCCAATAGCTACTTCGCAAGGGAACACAAAGCAAAAATCCGCAGATTAAAAGGCTGGTAGCTCAGCAGCTTCAAGTCTCGAGATGATGTTCTGAAGTTGAGGCACCTGCACTTTTGCTTGTGTATGCACCTGGATCCTGTTTTCGCGTGACTCCCTTGGACGGGACACAAGACGAAGCAAAGCGGATAAAGGAACTTCCGAGACGTTTGTTTAAGCTTACCTGTTGATGGAAGCGAGCTCTGATGATTATTGTAATTAGGATTATAGATGGTCGGTAGTGAAAGAACCCGGAATTCGTACGGATTAAGAAAAGAAAGCAGTGGAAGCGCCGATAGTCGAACGAATATCAAGAGATCTAAAGTGTCGAAGCTAACTCAACATGAACGATGCTATGAGGTTCCAAACAAGGTTAACGGCGAATCGTCAGAAGAGATAAGGGCGGACTGGAGGGGCGAATTAAATAAGAAGAATGTGAAAGCGATCGATGGCAGGAGGTAGCTCTGCCATTCACAATCCCCCGAACGATCGAGGCATCACCGTGGGGAAGAGGAATGATATTCCAGGCTTGTGTGGCCGGGATGTTTGTAGGGTGTAGATAGCGAGACAGGACGAGAGGTACTTACAATCCGACCAAATTAGTTTGGGTCCCGATGGGTGTGCTTGGGGTGTTTGGGGTGTTTGGGTGGGAAGCAAGCGAGTGAGCGGGCAAGCAACGTACTGTACTGGTTGGTTGGCCAGGTTAGAAATGGGAAAGGAAGCGGTGCATCGGAGGGCAGAGCTGGCCGCTGTCACTGCGCTGCGCACGAATAACTAACTAAGGAAGTATATTATATAACGTTAACACCGGGATGCAAGGTGTACGGTATCATGTAGTTGATATGAAGGATGTGGCCACGCCCCGACAGTCCACGCCCGCCAGGCTGTCCCTACCAGTGGTCGTCCTTGATCGTCGTCGGCCATGCAAGGTATACTTCCCTAGTTTAGGTACGATAATATGGCCATGCTTTTTTTTTTTTTTTTTTTTTTTCTTTCGAGGGCAGGAATGGCATTGATCTGATCTGATCTGATTCGGTCTGATAAGGATAGGTATGGTACGTAAGTACTTACTTTAGGTAGTTGATCGGGCTATCTTAGCATCAAACCCGTTTATACGAACTGAACTTCAAGACTAAGTTGGATCTTTTCTTCGAGTTCATCCATCAAGGGCATGCTCCTGTCCAATGATGCAATTCGCCTGGATTGTCCTATGTGTACCTATGCATCCACGGCATCGCCTGCAGGTCTAATCCAGCATTTCGCATAAATCAATCCCTGGTCTCCGCAAGCCGCGACCTAACGTTGATTGGGCGACATTGGCACCTTCCCAAGGCGGTTCTTCTCTTGCTCCTAGCGAAAAGACGGCCAGGCTCGAGGCTTAAACTCTGAAATTTTCGCTATTGAATCGGTTTTTCGAAATGCAATTTCCATCCGCGCCTTCTAGAGGCTGCATGCCGTCATCATCGCTGGAACCGAAACCGTCTAAGCCGCAAGCTTATTATAAGAATCGGATCCTCGAGGTACATCATGTAAGTGTGTAAGGTAGGTAACTTAACACAATTTAGCCTGCACCTGCATCGGGCTAGCTCATCTGGAGCTTGAGCTTGACTGTTTCGATGTTTGGACGAGACGAATCTTAGTCAGGGAGCCTCAAACAACGCCTTTCGCAGGAGAACTACTAGTTTTGTTCGTATCGTCACGAATTGACCCGATTGAGCTCTTCGACAAACTAGTTAGCACTATAACGTACGTAAGTACGAAGCCACTGCGCTCTTCTTGCAAGGGTGGAATGGTGGCTTTGAATCGATGCACATCGAGAGCTCTAGCGCTCTTTTCTTCTTCTCCCTCGTTGCACTGGGCCTCAATAGTACAGGCCACAACCAGGATATTTCGACAACATCCAGTAATGCCAGTCTGCCCGCGGCCGCGTAGGGTCTGGTGGACAGATGGGCGGTGGTGGGATGACCTACGCGACATACGTCAGCAAATATCTGAATCGATGCTACATGAGAACGACGAGACAACATGAGAATGGATAGACTTATACATGTCGTTGGGTTTGTGACCACCGTCCGAGGCTCATTATATTGCTATTATATTTCTTGGAGTATAGATAGAGAAAGAGCTCAGGTTAGCTACAAATACATGTATCGACCACTTGCTTTGTAAGTTTGGAGATGGAGATGCATCGATGGTATGGTACGATATGGTATGCTGAGAGAAAGAACTCGACTCATACCGGTACTCCTCATTTAGGGCTGATTGGGTATACGCTTCATGGTCAGCTTTGCTTATATTTTGCTCAGGTCTCTAACTTCTAGAGGATCTTAATATGAACTCAAGGATCTAACATGACTTTCATATTATATTATATGAGTATTTATTAGTCAATGGCCAAAAAAGGCATTTCATGATATCGATACACTGTGTATGCATGGCGTTGGGTTTATAATTTCAGGAAGTGCCTGGGTAGATGTACCAGCTTGCCAGACTGCTCACGCTGTCTTGTAATTAGAGTCATATGCAAGAAGCACTTAATTAATTGATCTGCTGGAAGGTATTCAGCTATGTATATCACTATTTACACCTTCTATTCTATCTCCTTAAGTACTTAGTGTCTACCTATTATTCTGAAAATATAATATCTTTCGAGTTAATGAATCTTGCATTGCAACATTGCATTGTCACCAACCTGCTTACACAATCCAAAATGGATCCTCTCACCCAACTTGACTCACAAGCAACTGCAGGTACCATAGAATTACAAGATCTCGCCAATAAGGTAGGCCTGAATCCTTTTCGTCTGTTTCATAATTAGTTAATTAGTCAGCTTATTCCCGTATAGAATATTCATCTAGATCCTGTTGACACCGTTGACGGCCTGTTAGTCTGGTGTTGGTTTTCGCAGGATCCAAATCCGGCCTACTTAAAGTCGGCCGAGAAGTCGCCTCTCAATTGAACTCGATATCAAAACCCAACCCACCAAAAATTCATCATCACCATCACATTCAAACACCATCGTCAATTGCATTTGTACGATCGTTCAATACCAGACATCTTCTCAAGACGTACAAAAGGAATCCCAAAAGGACCCAAGATGCAATCCCTCAGCTTCTCTGAAAAAGAACTCTTCGGCGGCTCCATCACCGCCAATGTTCCAACCGCTTGGACCGATCTCAGGTTTGTAATTCAATAAAAAAAGACCCCACCATCTCCCCCGCCAAATTGCTTAAGCTTCCGCGTTCTAAAGCTTCGGTCCCCAAAGATCAAGCACCACATTCATTCATTCCGCGCGCGCCTGCTCAATCATTTGAAACCCCCTCCTTTGGCTTCGAACTCCTCTTTTCGCAAAAAGTTCAAGATGAAAAACCAAAAAAAATTACTGGGAACAATTTAACCAACCTCGTACACCCCTTCCTCGGCGGAAACGAATATTTCTACCTCGTAATATAGCAACATCCGCCAAGTACCAGATAACCAGGAATGCTTCATCGATATAACCGGTCTTGCGACCTTGATCTTCGAACTCAACGAAAGAGTTGAAAAGGAAAATGACGAAGAAGCTGTCATCTTTCACCTCTCAGATATCTTCGAGGAAAGCCCTTATAAGATCTGGAAGAGCTGGAGACTAGATGCCGGAGAGGCTCCGCAATTAGAGTATGTTATTCCGAACCCGATAACTTCATTTCGACATAGGCCTCCAAATTAACTATTTTTAAATTATTTACTAGTGGCATCCCCGCTTATGCCATGCTTCTGACGACTCCATACGTCGAAAACCGTCGCGACCGAGTTGGGCATGAATCCCAATTTGTCGCTCTCGCAGTAGTCATCATTAGACTCGAGAAGCAGAAGACGGATATTGTCATTACGGCCAATATGCCACATTCTCTCCAAGAGGCTGCTGCAGAAACCACCATCTGCCCTCCTGGTTATGAAGCCGAGAAGGGTATCCCAGCGGATTATGTTTGGACACCCGAGAATGCCGGCCAACCATTGAAGAACCTGCTAGATATCATCGAACAGGGTGTCAAAACTTTCAACATCCATGATTTTGGATTGTTCGTGAATGAGGAGGAATAAGGATAGCGATAATGGAGTATTTGGTTAGACGCGAAGGCTATAGTTATGGATATTCACTATTACAGTCAGCATTTGGGACATTCTTTCAATTTCCAGTTTTATTTGTTATACACCAATATCGTATCCAGAGAGTGTGCTTGATATTATCTTCACACAGGGACCGAACCTCAACAGTCAATCATTCAACAATCAACTAGCAGAATACTGCCTTCATAACCCCCCGTCCAAACGTTCAATAATCACGGCTCCCAACACCAATGAACCACCGACCAAGGAGTTGAACTTCTTCAAAACGATTTATCGTACACCATTTGATCCCTCAACCCCTCTATATCAATCACCGTCTTCACCTCCTTTATCTTCCCCTCCACAAACCTATAAAACACATGCTCCACAACTTCTACACTCTCCCCGGTCGGTCTAAATCCCAGAAACTCTTTCTCTGGCGTACCTTTAATCAATAACCGTGCCGAAACCATTTGCTCGTCTCCAGTATCGTCGGCTACTAAAATATCTATATGGAATTTTAAATCCGGAGCAGGATCTGTAGCTCGAGTCATCAACGTGACATATTTTTCCGCCGGGTAAGGCTTTTGGTTCCAGATAACCGTAGGGTGGACTAAGCTTATGACGAGAGCCCAGTTGCGGTCGTTTATTGCTTGAATGTAGGTCTTGTAGATTTCCTTCAGTGAAGACATTTTCTTTCCGGAAAAAATAATCGAAAAATTAAATAAAACAATTTGAGTTGGGTCCGTATGGTCTGAGATACAAGAACCAGGTGGCCCAAGTTTGAGTCCAAAACCAAAAAACTAGTACTTTCGTGCTAGAGATAGTAAGCTAGAATGAAATAAGTTCAAATACGGTTTTCGAATGACGTCGGGTATCTCCACACAAAAAGCGGCCTCGGTTCAACGGGCGGGCGCCCGCAAGCGAGAATAATGCTATTTTATCATGGTTGTCTGCAGGGCTGACGACGACGTGACCACCTTCCTTCAAATATTAAATCCCCCAACATCCTCAAATGTAGGGACATACATTGCAATCCAAACAAGAACCCAACATTGATACATCCAATTCCTTCCTCCCTTCCTCCCTTCAAATATCATCATGGTACCAAACCGCGGAGACTTTTTCGAATTCCTATCTACGGCGGCGGCGCGAGCGACCAAAGATAAAAATGCCCAAAGAGCATTGAATAACTTGACTTTAACCCACGCGGATGGGCCTGAGTAGGATCCCCCCACCTCCCAAAAATTCAAAACCCTACCCGAGCTATGTAACATATATATACTATGTATGTGATATTTAGAACTAAAACTATAACCATCTATAGTAGGGGCCTTTCATACGAAGACCGAGAAATCATGCTCGAATGCCGCAGGAAAACCAGAGGATACACCCAAACCGGAGCCTCAATCGGACTATTCCTAGGTCTGGGAGCCGCAGTCCTCTCGCTCCGTCGTAGGCGCCTCGCATTTCGAAATCTCCGAGCAATGCAAGGGAAAGGAGCAACAATACGTTTTCCCGACGGAAGGGAAGAAATTATAACAAACTTCCCACCGGGCGTAAGACCTTCGTTTATGAGGAACTTTATGACGTTTAGTTTTTTCGGGTTCACCAGTTATGCACTCGGAGGGTTGGTGGGGAGTAGTTATGGTCAGAAGGATTTGAGAGAGTATAAAGCTCAACATCCTGATGCTGTTAAAAGGATTAATGCGTGGGAGCGGAAGTCTGTGATTTCGATGTTGAAGCTTGCTTTGGAGAAGTTAGAGGAGGTGGATGGTGAGTGGTCGGAGAGGGATAATATAAATGTTAAGGAAGAGGGGAGAGGATTCGATTCCTGGCCCCCGCCGGATAATCCGCCGCCTGAATTCCCTCGGTCGTTTTGAAGCTATAGAAGCGGCGAGCTGTATTTAATGTTATCTATTAGGTATATAAATTACGCAAATGCTCAATACCTAAAACTTAGAGCTATGTTCATCTCCAGAAGGGTTGACTGTCTAGCTTATTCATAGGCGCAACTGTAAAAATTTAGCAAAGGATATGTGAGGTCAAAGCTTGCCAGCTAAATTGTAAATTTAAAGAGCTGTTGTTCCTCTACAATCGTCATCGAATTCACGGGATAGGTTTAAGGAACCATGACTTGCTACCGAGGCAAATATTTGTAGATAAAGGTTATCTGTTCTGACGCCTGATATTTCGCCATTGGAAATCTATGATAAGAGTTTGCGAGTCCAAACTAGAATGCAAGAAGGAGAGTGAGAATATGTTTGAACGACGGATTAATTGTTAACTAAATGCTCTAGCGCTAAATCCTTCAACCGAAAACTCCACATACATGCATGCTGGTAACTAAATTTTGGAATATGCAACTAATGAAATGACTCGTAAAACCTTAATCATCAATCGTGATGACAAGCTTTTCAAACCTCGCCATGCTCGTTTCGTTTTCATCAGAGTCGGACCCTATGTCAATTATACCCCCGACCTTTTTTATGGGGCTTTCATCAGCAGCTGCCGTTCCAGGCTTGTTCCTCGATTTCTCCTCTTTCCAAAGTCTATTCACCTCTTTCTGCATTTTTGCGAGACTAAATGGTGTACCAGACGGAAGCTCCTGCTTCAACTTTGCGAATGTTTCCTTCTGAAAGGTTTGGTAGGGCGTAGGACCCTTAGCAGTTCGAGGTACCGGCTTGATCTGTACGAGTGGTACTTTACACAGCTCGCAGCCCTTAGATGTCGTCCAGGCCGGCTTTCGGCTATGTGCTTTATAGATTCGATCGCACAGTGTACACTGATACTCGAATTTGTAGTTGATCTCATGATTGTGGCAGGTGTCGGGTGTCTCGATATTCATAGCCTTCCCAACTTTCTTAGCCCAGGTTTTGAACAACCTTCCATGTGGGCCCTCAGATTTGAGCTGTCTGCGATCAATCTCTAGAATATCAACGCAGGCGTGTGTGTATTCGTGCGCTAGTGTCTCTTTGATACGCTCGACGTCGTCACAGACTTTGGACTCCAAAGTGATTACGCAGGAGAAGTAGGCAGACGTTCTCTCTTCGCCAAGGCCTGCACTATACCTGACCGTCTGACATGTTCCAGCCGTGGTTTGCTTAGAGTTGGTCCAAACAAGTTTAATTCCGCCTGTAGCAGCGGTTAGCCTCTCAACGGCACCGCCATTGACGGTGTCATCCAAAAGCTTCAGATAGTCATTCGAAATTTCCACTTTTGACTCTTCAAATTGCTTCTTGCGGAGCCGCTCTACGGTCTTCGGAGCAAGTGGTTTACCAGACTTTGATGTTACTCGTGGGTTCATAGTTGTTTTGGGCTTAGGAGTGGATGAAGTCTTGTTGGTCGCTGGTGGAGGTATCGAGGGCTTCTTGATTTCAATTTCTAGATCTGACTCGGAATCAGACAGGTCGAAAATTCGCGAAGATGTTCTCTGGACGATTTTAGGAGGACGCTTAAATCTATTCGGGGTGCTTCTAGTACGTTAGCCGTGGTCTCCAACCTTGTGAATCAAAGAATGTATACATACTGTTCAAGAACGTGGTCCTCATCCACCGCTAGATCTCCCAGTTCTCTACTTAATGTATCAATCTCATCGTTTGATAGGGACGGCACTGAAGATACGACTGCTAGGCTGGGATCTCTCTTCAGACTAATGCGTGGCCTTTGCTTCCGAGGGCTAGGTTGTATCTCTTCCAACACCTGGTCATCCGGTACTTCTTGTTGGATGCCCTGCAATCTCCGCAAGAAGGCTGGGACGGGCTTTGATGATGTTCTATTCAGTTTTGTAGGGCTGCTGACACTAAATGGTGTTCTAGGGGTCTTAGCTTTCTGAGGAGGTGGGCTAGGCATGAATTCTGAGCTGTCGCTGTCTTCGCTTTTGTTTTGATAGTCGTCGTCGTCATCACTGTCGTCGTCGTTATCGTTATTATTGTCGTCGCTATCCTCATCAACAGCAATCGGTATCTGTGTCTGGGAGGGAGTCCTAGTACCTAGGACAAGCGGAGCCCTCCGAGATCCAAAGATGACATCTTCGTCCTCTGAATAATCTTCGTCTTCTGAATCGTCTTTACGCTGCACACGGGGTGTCAGGGGTGCCTGAAGCTCCTCAGTTAAGATGTTATCGTCGGTGTCTGCCGGTAGAATATTCGTCTCGTTTTCTTCGTCGGTTTCTTCATCCTTCTCTTCCATAGAGGAGGGTTTAACCGCGCATGGGGATCTATTTTGTAGCTCCGACCCATGAATAGATTCTTCGTCACAACTAAAGAAAGTCGTATCATCTGCATCTGGTTGGTTCTGAGGTGTGCTTGAGCTCAAGCTCGAGGACAGAACCGAGTTCTGTGCCAGCCATTCTTCATGGGTCGTTTGGTTCAATGTTAAACGGACCATCGTTGCAGGTTATAATATCAAGCTCATGCGTAAATCTCAATATATAGATTGGTGAAAGGAGTAGTAAGAGGTATAATCAAAAATGTAGATGTCTATGGCTCGGGAAGTGATGATGAAACGATATAGATGTTGGCCGATTGAGTTGACAATTCAAGATTCAGGGTATGGTGAATTCGAAAGCTATGCAGCTTAGCGGGGCCCAAACACAACAACCAGTTTTTTGTTTGGGAATTGCCGGATCCGGCAGCTTCGTTGTCCCGGCTACTGGGGGTTGCCGTTCCTGACAACACGTCTTAAGCTCCAAAATACCACAATGTCTTGCTTGTCACATATTCACATCATCTTTCGATCGTACGCGCGTACGGGTGGCTCCACAGCATCAATAGTAGATAACTACTTACTTAAATACCTACTTAGGTAAGTAAATAAACTATATTCTCTGACTACTCAGTTTTATTCCCAGTTTCACTACTAGCCAACTAGATTGCATCGACGCGCCGTCTTCGGTACAAAATGATGATGTTTTAACGTTTTTCTATATATATAGTTAATCAGAATATCGATTGAATCACGAAAGGTTAGCGCCATAAAACCCTTTAGAGAGCTCTTAACGTCTAATCACAATCTGCTAATGAGGTATATGGCCAATAGGTAGCTACCTGCTATCTGTGGATAAAGCCCCGGAATGGGGATAAAAAGCCAGTCAATCCGGAATCTCCGAAGGAGTGGATCCAAGAGTACGAAACCAATCCTGCAGGAATTAATAAGCAATAAACGGTTACACAAATTGGAAACTTAGCTTAAGCATTTGTAGTCACAATATCTGTCTAGAACTCTAAAATTAAACTTATATCTCAATCAACTTTTCTTAGGTCGCAAACTCGGGGTCTCAATATGTGTTGTTCGCTGCTCATGATCAAGAAACCTTTGCGATTGGATCCCAGGCCAGGTGAGGGTTGATACCATTGGGTTTTGGCCTAAGACATCGGTTATTATAAATCCTTCTGCCTGATAACGTTATATTTAATTCCAGAACGCGCATATTCGGAATACGTCTTAACTCCTCGACAAGTTCTCGCTTTTCGCCATATTGCCAGGCCAGCAAACGAGATGATGTGCATGGGTAAGATTTGACGTTCGATCATGAGTCAACTCGCATGCCCGGCCCCGCTATGCATAAAAACGTGAGTCGAAATTATCCATGATCTATCTTGGCTCTCCATCTAGAAAAACATTCCCCCCCCTCGTAAATGAACAATTGAATGCTCCACTTTGCATTGATACTCCGAAATGAATTAGTATTAATCATCATGTATCACCGATAGGGCTTTCGTTATTGTATCATGAGGTGAAGCGCTCCATGTCCGTCCGAACTATTGACTCCACCCGAGGTACAAAACTTCCAGGTACCCCTCGCTCCTAAAACAGTACGTAACCGACCACCTCGTAATCATCGATCAGGCCGTCCCCCCAGCTCCACCAAAGCAATTGGGAAGCTCAAGAAGCTTCTTTTTTCGAAAAAAAAAAAAATAGGAAAGAAGGGAAAAATATTCCAAACCAAGCTCTGCCAATTTTCTTGGAAATTTATATCCTTAAGAATAGTTAAAAAGCTTAAGCCTTAAGATCGTCCTAATGTGGTACGACGGGTGTACACGCAACTCCCAAATACTAGGATCCTACTGACGGATGGCATACATGCCCTCACTTTTATATACTTTCGAACATGGTAGACTTCGGCCGGGCTATAATCGATTATGTAATTTCGCAGTTGGAAAAAAAACAAAGGTCATTGAAATCACAAATGGCCGTAAGCTTAGCTAGAAGAACGATAGCGTGTGACGTTCGAGGCGATGTTCCGACAAAGGAGCTTTCGTAATCGTTGATACGTATGCAATCCCTCGAACTTGCTCTGTGATATATTATACAGTGGTTGAGCTATGGCTTCTTAGATTTGTATATATATCCCCTTCGAAGCTTCGTTCTCGTTCTCCTTTATTTCAGTACCCTCAATCCTCATATAGATCAATTGTTCAATTAACCAATTGACTCCAACTCTTTCATCTTCTATTCATTCTCATATTGTGGCTTCAATACCCCCCTAAAGACTATCTCATATAATACAAAAATCTATATATATCCTACAATGGATCAATTGCAAGTCGACAGGTCAATGACCCTCCCACCTTACACTCCATCCCACCCCACCAAATTTGAACTCTCATACCCTCCTCCAACCCTTCAAAACCCCATAACCCCAATCTACCGCTCCCAATCCTTCCTCCCACCTCTCTCCGACGGCTCACCACCCGAATACCGTCATTCCCTCCAGACCATCGATTCAACCTTAAAACCCGCGTATATCCTCCACTTCGACGCATCCACCAAAAACACCATTTTAAAAACCCCAGAAGGCCAAAAAGTAACCTCGATATCCTTCTTAAAACCTCGACGACAAACTGTTACGACGTTTTTGACTTCTGATGTGGATGCTCAAACTCTTGCTGGATCGTCATTTACATTAAGAGATGACGAAGACGACGATAATAATGAAGATGTACAAGAAGAAGAAGAAGAAGAATATGCAGAAGAAGTAAACTCAATCCTTCTCGACCCCACCGTTCCAGCAAAACAAACAATTACACTATCATCCCATAAATACTTCCACACAAAGGGCACAAAATTTACAACAAAATCCGGTACCTCATACCGTTGGCAAAAGTCAATAAACCCATCGTCGACACCATCGATATCAAGTATAAAGGGAATACCAAAACCAACAGCACTACCGCACTCGACTTTCGTACTAACTCGTACTCCACCAAAGAGTCAAAGGACACCGGGAAGTACAGAAATAGTAGGAAGGATCAAGATAACCGAAGGGAGTTCTTTAAAGGCGATACTGGAGTTGAAGGGCGGACAGGAAGAATTACCAGAAGCGATGTTTTTGGGTAGTGCGATAGCTGTGTTAAAAAAGCTTGACTTGAAGGCTGCAAGGCAGAAAGCGCAAAGGTCTTTACCTCAGAATCTAGTGCAGATTACGTTCTAACGAATGCTTTTTTTTGGAGATGAATGTTGTCTTTGGTAGCGTAGTTCTTGTACTATTTCTATCTTTTCCTCTTTTTCTGATCTTGTCAGCGAGCGCAAGCGCGAATGTTTGAATTGCGAATATATTTTGATTACGAACACTTTTGTCACCATCAACACTTAGCATCTATCAACTTGTTGTATTTTCTTCGCGAATCCAATCCCCCCCTTACTAGGCCATCCAGGGTCAAGATATCCTGTTCAGCTATATATGAAGGTTCCATTGCATTGTTAAATTTTTTTGAAATCCAAGATCTCCCAGATATAATAAGATAATCGACAATAGTAGTTGGTCTAAAAGACTATTCATATTCATATCGATATAATTCCACATAGCCCTCAACAATTAGCCATCAACAGACTCTAAACTACGCCCTGATATCCTGCTCAAGCATTTTCCACCCTTCTGTCCTCCAAGGCGCAATCATTACACTCATCTGATCATGGTCAATAGTCCCACTCGCTTCAAGTGCCTCACAGAGGTCCTGAAGATCTGGCATCGACTTCGACAGCGCCAGATCCAATGCCATATTTGCTGGGAACCTCTCGTCAGACGTATCCGCAAGCGATTTCCAAGCTGCGCTATTCGATGGGTTGAGAAAGATTGCTGTTGTACAAATAGATGATGTATTCCGCCCCTAAAAATCCACTCTATTAGTAAAAGACCCACTGTGGCGTTTTTTCATATGGGTACTCACCGAAATCTCTCCCAATGTTAGTAATAGTTTATTCACTTTCTTTACATCCTCTTCCGGCCTCTTTCCGACGCCATTCACCATCTCCAGGTCTTCCATGACGGACTCGACGATCGCCTCGTCGCCCTGTAGGGCCCCAATAACTCCTAATAGCATCGTTGATTGTAGATGCTCTGGATTATTTTCAATACTGCCCATCAACTGCTGCATGGCCACCTCCCGCTCATCATCTCCTCCCTTTGCCCACAAAACCTGTGCCAATAATGCGACAACATCTGGGTTCTCGTTGGATTCTGTCAAAGCAGTCTTAAACATCTCCAAGCTCTCATCGATCTTGCCTGTGAAATAGTACGCCAAGCCAGCCGTAAGGTGTGCTGATAACCTGCACTTTGGAACCTCCAGATCTTGGGAAAGGTTAAGAGAGAGCTCTGCGCTCTCGGTCGCATTCTCGTAGTCCTTGAGACCAAGATAACACCTTGCCTTATCCGCAGTTGCCTGTGCATACATAATCAAATCCTCGGTTGCCTCGGACTCTTCGTATTTTGCTTCGAGGATGTCGCAGACTTGCGACAATTTTGCCACAGCGCCTTCAAAGTCCCGAGCACGCTCCTCATATAACGCAGCAAGTCGGAGTGATATTGGATCCCTCGCTTTCTGTTGAATCAGCTGGTGAGATGCAAACATTGGGTTTAGTAGACTCATCAGCGAGGAATCAGTACGGTGTTGCTCAAGGAGTACATCGAAAGTTGTGCTCGCGAATTGGAGTTTGACAAGGCTGGAGTGGTTTTCCGATGCCGAAAGTTGGAATGCATGTTCGAATAATCCTGGAGCATCCTTCGTTTGTCCGGTAGCAAGGGCTACTAGGCCTTGGCCCACCCACGCATGGGAATAGTCTGGGTCCGCAGACTGTCCGCGTGTAAAGGCGTCATTTGCAAGTTGATAGTCTCCATGAAGCATATACAATGTACCAAGATTAGTCCAAATACGAGCGTTCTATAAGCGTTTGTCAGTTATGTAGCCTGGCTTGTTACACGCTATCGGGAGAACTGACCTTTTCATTAATATTCAACGCTCTCACGAGCGCATGTTGGGCAACCCTGGCGTTAACATCGGACGTTACAATCCCCAATGCATTCCAAAAATCACTATTTCCAGGTTCAAGTTTGATGGCCCGCTTGAAACAGGTAATAGCGGCTTTTCGGTATTTTGTGGCACGATCTTCCGGGCACAACAGAATGCGGTACTCAGCGGTACCTAGATTATACCATGCGACGGCATGGGCATGTCGATCCTCAGCAGAGGCATATATACCCCGTTTATATGCCAAGACACTTGCGACCAGGCACTTCTCAAGCATTGGTAAATCTTTGTAGGTGTCAAGAGTTGAGGCTCCAACGCCGTCTGTCTCGGATAAAATATTGAACTCAGCTTTGTCAATATTCGTGCTGAGGATTTCTGAAACGTCATCTGCCGGGAACTCGTCAAGGAGACTCTGGACCCAAGAAAAGACGGAGCAAGCATCGCCAACTGCCTTCCATAGGTTGAAAGCTGCTGGATTTATTTTCACAAGCTGCTTGGCGACTTGCAAAGCCTCTCTAGCTGTGATTGCGGCCCTGCCAAATAGCCCAATATTCAAGTTATTGAAAGAGGCAGCGACAAGTGCTTCTGTAAGAGCCATGATAACGCCGAATTCATCCGGACGTTTCGACAATACCGCGCGATAGCCGTCACAAGCAGTATCATATTCTCCGAGCTCCAACTCAACATTAGACATCATGTATGTGATAAACCAGTTGTCAGGGTCAAGGGTCTGTGCTTGCTTGAAAGCTTTAGTTGCTGCTATGTATCTCCCCAAGCCGGAATACGCTTCTCCGAGGCCGATCCATGAGTGCACATCTTTTGGAGATGTTCGTAATGCGGTTTGGAAGGCTTGTATTGCAAGTGGGTAGTTTAGGTTGTTCTATGCGCTATTAGTCGTCGCTCCCGGTTGTATTACCATACGAAACTTACCAATTCTACGACACCAAGGGCAACCTGGGGCCATGATGCAGCCTTTCCAACTGTTGTCCGTTTCTTGTCTGCATCAGCTGCTCTCCTAGCCACGATCTCGACGAGCTCCCAGTCTTTGGTATCCGCAAAGTTCCTAGCTAGTCGTTCCGCTGCTTCATACTCTCCTGATGATAACTCAAACGCCTTTTGAAAGCACTTATTGGCCCGTTCAACATCTCCAGAAATATCGGCATAAAATATACCTAAACCTGTGAATGCCGGCGCAAAATTTGGATTGCTCCTCAAAGCCTGCATGAAGTAGTAGTATGCACCTTCACGGCTATCCCGCTTCTCAGGTTCCGAATCCCATAGGGCAGACCCGATTCTCCACAAGACTTGGGCCTTGAGGTCCCTTGACTGAGGATCGACCCCAGTTATACGCTCTAAACACCCTTGCAGTTCCCCAATCCCCAATTCATAATGTCCTTGTTGGACCTCACACCACGCGGCCTCAGAAACAACCTTTAGGTCGTTTGGGTTGCTTATTAGTGCCTGTCTCAAAAACCCTGCCGCTTGCTCAAATTCGCCTTGTTCTTCAAGAATGAGGCCGAGCCCGATCAGCGCACCAGTATTCTGAGGATTCCGTGTGAGAACATCCTTAAAAGAGGCAGTCGCCTCGTTGTGGTGGCGTGGGGCCTGATAATGAACCAGCGCTGTAGCAAGAAGAACTGCGATCGCATCGGAATTCCTATCAAACGTATATCAGTCACCCGGGGACTTCGCTTTAGGCGTGCAGACTTTATACTTCTGGAATTTTAGGCCACTGACTTGGGCCTGCCTAGCGACAGCAGTAAGGCCTCTTCGGCATACGTCGACCGCATTTTCGTACTCGCTCAGCAGAAGGTAATATTCGCCAAGTATCCGATGGCCAAGAATGGACGTTTTATCCCTATCCAACCCATCCTTTGGGGGTTCTTAGCTTTTCGCTGACTAAGTAAGGTATTCAGGGGTCTCATACAATAATGAAGTCGAGACGTTCATCAGGTCCGATATCTTGGATGAGGGAAACACCTCCTTCGTCTTCCTCCTGTTCCTCAGGCTCGACGACCGGAAACGGGGATATTTCCGAGTCGAGGAATGCTCGGAGCAGGGTTGCGAGGCCAGTGTTCGGGAACAGATCAACATAGTTCCTAAGCACGGTAACGTCATAGTCGCCTAGAAATCGTTCAGAAGCGGTGCGCGAAGAATTCCAGAGAGAAGGTCACTGACCAATACTGTTGACGTCCTGCCACTCTATTTCGAGTTTCCAAGCGAGTTCGTATGGTACTTTGAGTATTACGATTCCTTTTGCCCATTCCAATACCTTGTCGCGTTGCTCGGGTTTATCTGCTGCCCCGAGGACTTCGAGGTAGCTGTATCCGAGCTTAAGCTGCTTGGCTTCTGTGTCTCGTCTGACTTGGTCGTCCTTCGTCCAATCGATGATCTTTGTGTATAAATCTTGCAACTACCAATCGCGCTAGTGTTTAACAAATGTCGTCCAAATTTCGAATGGAGAATAGCCTTACGGGTGACTTCTTCCAGACCTCCTGTTTCACCTGGATGGTCACACTTCTTTCAGTCGCGCCCAAACGGGATTTCCTGGCAGCTATCTGGGTGTTGATAAGTTCCTTTTCTTCGGCTTCAACGATTTCGGCAAGTTTTTGATACGTGATATCCGGCGGAGGTGGAGCGTGTGTAGGTGATGCTTCGAGAAACTGGTATATGGGACTTTCCGGGAGCTGCAACCTTAAAGCCTTTTTTTGCTATATACGTAAAAATAGTATGAGCTCGTGACCGAAAGTTCGAAGGTGTGGCAAGGCATACCTCTGCTCGTGTGCCTCTAGCTTCGACGAACTGCAAGATTTTATTTATCAAGGTATCGAACTTCAACCGATCGTCTCTACGCCTCTAATTAGCGAGAGCATAAGTCGACGATATAGGTCCATGCCCTCACTTTTGCATGTGGATTACGGCTAACTCCGTCGCAGCATCGAGGTACTCGTCGACTTGTTGAGTTTCCTCGTACAACTGTGCTAGGCCTTGCCATGCCGGTGCTTCGGAAGGGTTTAGCTGTATCGCGTCACGGTATGATTTCTCGCCATCTTTGATCTCGTGGAGACGGAATTGGGACAATCCGAGGTAGACGTGTCTGTGTACCGTTGTAGAGATATTGGTTAGATTTGAGGATTCTGGTCCCGCATGGCCTGGGTGGTTAGGGTGTACCCCACGTATTGTTTCGGATCAGCTTGGACGATTTTGAAGGCTGCCTCTCGTGCATCCTCCCATTTCTGCTGGTCGATTGCAGCTTTTGCAGCCTTCAGCAAGGCCTTTGAGGCTGCTTTCGACATTTTGGCGTGGTTGCGACAATACAAAAGTTGGGTCGGTTAGCACAGCCAGCAATTGATTGATTGCGGTTTGCCCAAATAGCTTTGAAACGAAGTGAAGTCTTGAATCAAGTGAATCTCCGTGCTATGGAAAACAAACGGAAGCCGGACACGTTTGTGAAACGAAGTTTGATTACTTTGGTCGGACGGATATGTTTTCATTGGTATCGAAGTTACGTTTGTTCTGGCTGGAGGATCGAAGAAATCGACACTAACATTGCATTGGTTACCCCAGAGGATGTGAGACAGAAATAGTAGAGCACATGTCACCATTATATTGTATTAACCACACCAAAGATTACTCAAATGCGATAATATTATCTATTAGTATGTAAAAACACCTTATGGTAGAAGCTCGAGATCTTAGATAAGATAGAAATTATAGGTTCATCTACGTGGAAAGTACTATGTACTGTACTGTCCCCAAGATACTACCCAACGTATGGTACTATGGACGGTGCTATGATGCAAGCACCGGCAACCGGAGGTTCGCTGGAAGGGGACTAGACTCACGTGCAAACACGGTTGCGGTGCCAAGCGCGCCATCACTGCGACCATCCCGATGTGGTTGCCCTTCGCAGCAATGATGTTATGTTTTGGCGATAAAGTGCCTCTCCCTGTATCTGCCCCTGGCCCTATTGCCGGGTTGGTCATGAGTTGGTGACTGAGTGTTAACTAATGTGCTAGGTAATACTCAAGTAAAGCAAGGTCGGGCTGACGACAGCACCGACTGGCCTGTCTGGCTGCAAGTTGGGTGCCGGGCTGGGCTAGAATTAGCGTACTCCGTACCTAAGGAATGAAAGTAGAGAGAGGATTAGAGTCGTGTCAGGCTGTGTGCCATGCCATGCCCGCCCGTTTTCCGATCGCCTCTCGCTCGCCTTCCCCCATAAATGTCCCCCAGCCATTTCTGGTCTCCATCTCCCTTCTCTCTTCCCTTCACTTCACTTGACTTCACTCCACTGCCTGCTCACTACACTCTTGCATCTCCGTTTAGAAGACCGACCTTCATAGAACAAAGAATAAGAAGAAGACATAGAAAGTAGTTATTAGATATAACAAATCCTGTCTTCAAAATGAGGGTTTCCACACTCGCGACCGCTGTCGGATTCGCCGGCCTCGCCTCCGCCGGCGTCCACAAGATGTCCCTCAAGAAAATCCCCGTTGAGGATACTATGGTAGAACACAAGCTCCCACCACAGCTTTACTCCTGGATTTCCCTTCGCTAACATGGAAAAAACTTATAGCTCGGCCAGAACTTCCAAACCCAGGTGCAGGCTTTGGCTCAAAAGTACATCAACCGAGCCGGTAACCAGCAGGCATTCACCAATGATGTTAATGCTGACGGCGGCCACTCCGTCCCAGTCAACGTAAGCCGTCCTTTCGAACCTACGGAGTATCTCTTGATGATGTCCCCTGCTAACAAAATATACCGCTGTTAATAGAACTTCTTGAATGCTCAATGTAAACACCCAGATCATCTATACTTACGTCATATCTCCATGCTCCGTGGCTCACAATACTCTTTCTCTTTTAGACTACTCCGAAATCACTCTCGGAACACCACCACAAACTTTCAAGGTCGTCCTTGACACTGGCAGCTCCAACTTGTGGGTTCCATCGAAATCATGCTCTTCGATCGCCTGCTTCCTTCACACCAAGTACGACTCTAGCGAGTCGTCGACCTACAAGGCCAACGGCACCGAGTTCTCAATCCAATACGGGTCCGGAAGCATGGAGGGCTTTATCTCGCAAGATACCCTCACAATCGGTGACCTCACCATCAAGAACCAGCTCTTCGCTGAGGCTACCAAGGGTATGTAGTGACCAATGAGAGATCCCTTTACCCCCTGATCGAAAGCTAATGCACTTCCAGAACCTGGCTTGGCCTTCGCCTTTGGCAAGTTCGACGGTATCCTCGGTTTGGGGTACGACACCATCTCTGTGAATAAAATCCCACCACCATTCTACCAAATGATCAGCCAGAAGCTCGTTGATGAGCCAGTCTTTGCCTTCTACCTCGGAAGAGAAGAAGATGAAAGCGAGGCTGTCTTCGGCGGTATCGACAAGAGCCACTACACCGGTGACATCACCTGGGTTGATGTCCGCAGGAAGGCTTACTGGGAGGTCCCCTTCGATTCCATCTCCTTCGGTGATCAGACCGCCGAGCTTGATTCCTGGGGTGCCGTCCTCGATACCGGTACCTCCCTCATCACTCTCCCATCTGACTATGCTGAGATGCTGTAAGTGGTCACAATCCTAAATTCCTTTTGACACGACTACAAGCAGACATACTTACCCATTAAATAGGAACTCCGCCATCGGCGCCACCAAGGGCTGGAACGGCCAATACAGCGTTCCATGCGAAAAGGTTCCAGATCTTCCATCTCTCACCTTCAACTTGGGTGGTACCAACTTCACCATCGAAGGTAGCGACTACACCTTGAACCTCCAGGGATCTTGTATCAGTGCCATTACTCCTCTCGATATGCCAGCTAGACTCGGTAAGCCCCAACAAATGAATTCCATTCTGTAACTCGTAATGCTAACGCTTATCATGAATAGGTCCAATGGCTATTCTCGGAGATGCTTTCTTGCGCAAGTACTACTCCATCTATGACCTTGGCAACAACAGAGCTGGTTTGGCCAAGGCCAAATAAGATGCTCATATGCTCGCATGATAAAGGATATGACTTCTTTGTATAACAAACTCATCTAACCTGGCTCCAAATTGCATACCCTCGGACTTTCATTGGTGTTGTTGTTGCCTTTGTTCTTGAATTTTCTCTCTACTCAGTAGTCGCGGTGTACTTGACAACGAAATTATTTTAATGGAATGGGGAATATCCGGTTGCTTTCACATCTCTTGCATATGTATTTTCACGGTATTAGGGATGGCTTACGTACGATAAGGGACGGAATATATTCAATTTAGGTAGTTTATGGAATCTCAGCTTTTGAAATTTTAGTATCCTTCTGGATCTAGATCTCGCCCGAGTGATCTCTTCGACGCTAGCTAAGGTACTTGGTATGGTACCTGTCGGCGGCGCTAATGCAGAGTACGGCACCGGCACGTCTTGCCCCTCGCTTCTGCCATGCTGTACAACATTTGGGCCTAGAGCTCTCGATTTCGGTCTGAGTTTGACATAACGTCATTCCGTTCCTGACTCTTAGACCTCGAGCTATTAATATTGGGGAAATCGTCGATCATTCTCTGGGTATTTTTCCGTATTAGGTTTCGTCGAGTTTCGGGGCAGAGATTTACTAGAATCTTTGAATCGACCTCTAGCTCTTCTTTAGTTAATCTCGCATGTAGAAACATACAAAATCATTTCGCATCCTACCTACTACGTAACCAAACGTCGAATGATATCCGCTACGATAGCAGGACACCTTTCCCCTATAGACCGACAGCACCGCAATTAAAACATCCCTTTTGAACCTCTTAAATAGTACTAGTAGGTAACAACTAGGTATCAAATACTTACTTAAGTGCCTATTAAGTAAGTAAGTACCTACCTACTAAGTATTTGAATAGAACCAACCAAAAGATAATCTTGAACTATACAAACCATGACTTCGACCGTTAACTCAGATACCAATAATATAACAACCCACCTCCTCAACCTCTGCCCAACCGCCTACAAATCCGCCACAGAACACCCCTTCCTCACCGCCGCAGCCACAAACACCCTCCCCACCCCACTCCTCCTCCAATGGCTCCTCCAAGACCGCCACTACGCCCTAACCTACATCTCCTTCATCGGCGCCCTCCTATCAAAACTCACCATCCCCACAACCTCCAACCGACTTTCCACCCTCTCCTGGAAAATAGCCAACACACTCATCTTCTCACTTAATAACATAAAAACCGAACTAGCTTTATTTGATAAAGTACTAATTGAAGAGTTCGGTTGGAGTGAAAGTGGGGAGGTGGAAGTGTTACCGATCACGAGGGCTTATCAGGATATGTTTGCCGGGGCGGGAAGTGGGAAGGCTAGTTTGTTGGAAGGGATGGTGGTGTTATGGGCTACCGAACGGTGTTATTTTGATGCTTGGGGGGTTGCGAAGAGGTCTAGTGGGGGTGACAAATCTAGTACTACTGGTGAGGAGGGGAAACGGGAAAGTGATGTAATGACGAGGATATTTATTCCAAATTGGACGTCAGAGGAGTTTAAGGAGTTTGTGGATACTTTGGAGGAATTGGTTAATGGGATTGTGAAGGATGAAGGGGTGGAAGTGGGGAGTGAGGTTTGGGGAAGGTGTGAGGCAACTTGGAGGCAGGTGCTTTGGTTGGAGGAAGGGTTTTGGCCGGACGTTTGAAGGCCGACAAAGATAAGTATGCGAGCGTCTGCTCCGAGACTAGGCCGAAGCCAATGCTGGCATCTGGTCCCGAGACTAGGCCGAAGCTAAGGAAACAGCTCAGGATTTGGGGTAATTCTCTTGAGGGTCGGAGTGTAGGATACTAGGTATTTGTAATGAAAGGTACGATACTTAAGTAGTTACCTATAAGTATAGGGAGTAAGTTCGGCCGCTTTATGGTTTCTCTCTAGCGTACTTTTGGATACAAGACTACTGTCACCTGCGTTGTTGCACCAAAAATGCCACAAGCTTCACCATTGTTGTCTAGATCGATTGGTTCCGAAATTCATGATCATATCGATCTTAATTGAATTCATTATCACGTACCCATAAAAACAAAAAGATAACTACCTAGGTAATTACGACTATAATAAAAGGTATGTATACTTATGTATGCATTATCCATCTTCGCAACCGAACTCCCACCATTATCATCCTAAATTAATCCTGAAGAGACATCGGTTTAGCCATCTGGATCTAGATGGTATATCTAAACGACTCCGATCCTTCCAAGACCTTCTCCCCACGATCTGCCTTCTTATTAGCCCACTTGAAGTAGACAATAAAGAAAGCCGTGAGGAGTATAGTCAAGATGGCACCTGTAAAACAAGTGTACAACCCAGGTCTGTAGCTCGGAGCATCTTGAGGTCTATAAAAATATCATTCATGTATATCAGTATCGAAGCGTTACTCCTAATGATATCTTAACCTACACGGAGGGGGGAAACTTACCGGAATACCAAACTACCAATAATACCACCGACAGCAGCCATACTGACCATGATAGTAGATGAGAAGGCTCTCTTCCATTGGCCACGGACGTTGTTGGATTGATAGGTAAAGACTAATGGTAGATTTGCTGCCATTCCGCAGCAGGTCATGATCACACCGAAATATCTACCACCAACGTTTGGAGCCCAGCCTATGAGGTTGTTAGTAAGAAACCCCCCAAATTCTCCAATCAACTAAAACAATAAACTTACCCATAACGGCGAGTCCCATGATCTCAAGAACACAGTTGAAAATGATGAAAGGACCTCTGGCTCTGTAGTTATCGCTGACGTAGCCGAAGGTGAATTGATATACGGCTTGGATGATGTACGGAGGGGCAGTCATGAGCTGAGCCTTAGCAACAGAGTATCCCATTCCTTTAAAAGTAAGTTAGTTAGCATATATAAACCCTTCTTATACCTTTGATTGAAAAAAAAAGGAAACCCACCTTGATTGAGAATCAATGGCAAAAAGAAGGCTAACGCATAAGCAGGAATCGTGCACATGCAAATCATCATGCCAAAAGCGAAGCACTTCCAATCCTTTCCTCCCTGGAAGAATCGACTGAGGGTAAATGGCTCCAGTTGGGTATCACCACGATCGGCTTCGACTTTTCGGATGACATAGTTGACTTCAGATCGATTAAGGAAACCCCAGGTCTTATGGGCGTTCGGGTCATCGGGGAATGGTGGGATGAAGATGTATCCGAAAACTGCGATCACGCAGGTTAAGAGACCTTCGATGATAAAGATCCATCTCTATATCGTTATTAGCTATACTGGATCCTCCTCATAAAGACGGATATCTTGTGTAAAACTACTTACCCATCCAGCTAGACCACCAACGCCGTTCATTTGCATTAAACCGTAAGCCATAATTCCCTAGAGTAAGTACTCTATTAATACCCAAATCGTTTATCGCTTATGTCTGAGATGTGATATCAAACTCACAGTGAACGCATTGGCGACGGAGCCGATGACATAAAAAGCTGCAAAACGTCTTCCTAGTTCGTCTATACGTCCAATAAAATCTCATTAGGATATGACTTTCGAATTAGTTCTGGAATGCAAATAAACTTACATCGATTGTACCAAGTACTCAGAAGATAGGAAGCTCCAGGGAAATATCCGGCCTAGTAATTCAGGTAATAATAAGCACCGTGTATGTTTAACTTTCGCAAGCCTTTAGCTAATTAAACTCTAGCCGCAATACATACCTCCAAAGCACCGAGAATCAATCTCATTCCTAGCAACTGCTGCCATGTCTTCACAAGGCCCATACAGGTGACGCAGATTCCCCATAGCAAACAAATAACCGGCAGGAATACACGTGGACCGAATTTTCGACATCCTACGACTCCAGGCGCTTCGAAAAAGATATACGAGACGAAGAACATCAAAGTAGCGATCGACTAAAATATGCAGGCCGTCACTTGTTAGCTGTTTTGTATCACCTCAGAGCTTACAACAATGGGGGTCTCGAAATTGCAACATTGCAACACGGAAACCCTCGACTTAACTCCTGCGAAACTACACTCGAAAATGATGGATTTGATGTAGTTTAGACTACCTCGTATCAAGGAAGAAGGATAAAACTTACGTATGCATTATTTTTTGTATTCATACCCAAGTCCTTTGGCATCCTATATTGTGTCGAGGTTAGTCAGCTTTTGAATGTAGCGTCGGTGGACTCGTTTTGCCCTACCCTGCAACGGCTGCGCTGCCGATATTACTCCTGTCTATGATCGAAATGCAGTAAATTATACCGGTAATAATGACTAGACGTCTATCAATACGGTGTATGATTTTTTTCTGCTCTGCTTCGGAATACTCAATGATATCCGTGGCCTCCTCGGAGGCCTCAACGGCTTCATTGCCGTAAAGATCGGATTTCTTCTCGTCTGCGAAAGACATGTTGGGCAACTTAGAAGTTAACGCTCCTGGTTGTTGAAAAAAGAGTCTCTACAGAATAAAGTAAAAAAAAATTTAAGTCTGGTGAGGGGTTGACGCGATATATAGCGTGAGGTTCAGCGGAGTGGAACCAGCCTTTGAAAACTAGTCCTTAGCTTCGACGCCCCACAGCTAGTAGCTAGGGCCGGCAAAAGCTAATTGAGAAGTATTCTAGCAAAGGGCTGAACAACAAAACTCGCTGGCGGAGTACGCGCGTAAAAAGATAAAAAAAAATAGATAATGCCCCAAGCTTTGACTCAGGATCCAAGTGGGGAGCTTATAGAAAAGCCTACAGAGATAGTGAAAAAAAAAATAATGATTGGGTTCAGGGCGCCTTAATATACATATATGTGATGTGCAATGCAATGCAATGCATTACAACTTTTAAGTTTTCACATCTGTTTAGGACGATGGACAAGGGGACCCTCCCAACGAGCAGGTGGCCATTAATCCGAGCTGCGGTACCGTCCCTGACCAGCTGTATACCGTACGAATAGTCGTGGATGTGCAGGTGAAGTACGGATTTGCCGCTCTGGGGCCTCCCGCATTGGTAACTTTCTAATAACCGAAATTCGGTTCTACCCTACCGAAACAAGAAGCTTGGGTTCGTCACGAAATTCAGCCTGCGGTAACTTGACATAAACAATATAGATACTGTAATAGTTTGAAGAAGAATTTCGAGATAAATTTCGATACGAGGTTATAGGTCCATGTGTGCATGTTTAGTCAAGTCGGGGTTTTAAAATTTTTGTTTTTTGTTTTTTGTCTTTTTGAGGGGGCGGGAAGTTTAACGGTTTGCTGGGGGTTTTGCGCTTCATGATAGATTTCTCAAAGTCACCGAGCTGAGTATCAAGATTACCTAGGACCCATATATGCTAGCACGTGCGGTATCACCAATGCGTCCATCGAGACGACAGAAGACGCAGTAGAACCCACCCGATCTTCACTGACACACTTGGCTGCAGGAAGTGTGTTCCATCGACCAACACTTATCAGAGGCAAATTGCGATGCCTAAATGATTTTAAACCGTTATCGATATTAGCTAAACTTGTTCTGGATATAGTTTCTGTGAGTGGGCGGCGCTATCGATTGTGGCTTTGGTTGGGTACGTACAATATTGATATGTACAATGGAATGTGCATATGCGTCGCAGAACGGAAATCGATTTGGTGTTTCTGGGGAACTTTTAGTGTCTTTAATCACATCAATTGATCTTTTCCCGGGGTTTTTGTTCCAAAGTACCAAAGAATATAGTCTAGTGTGTTCTTTGTTAAGTAATTTGGGTCGGGTGCCATGGCGCCATGAATTTAGCTAGCTTGCCACACGAGACAATGTATTCGCCTCTAGCTTTTCTTCTAACGCGAGACATTTCCTCGACCCAGGAAATCAGCTGGCCAGGTCTCTCTTTTTAATTCGGCTAACCGGTATATATTAATACTAAAACAAATATAGGTTGCATATTTACGCGAGGGGCATTACCAAGTTTTGAATAGTTCTCAATCGATCAATTTAGTCGGTTTTTGATATCTTGATGTTTTGAAAGGTATATTGTAATGCTGTGCCGTAAATTTCAAGTGTCGATGGAGAAAGCTGAACTCGGGGTTACGTGATCCGAAGGGCTTTCATACATGTACCTTCGGATCCTTATTGTGTGCCAATCAACGTTGCAATAACCAGGATTCATTGCATTTCCATCACTATCATATGTTCACATAGTGGGTCTTGGGTGGGGTCTTGACTCTACTTTGCATTGGTTGAACAATCACTTTACCGCAACTTTTCCGCCATTCACCGGTTCAGGGAAAACATATTGATCCTATTGAGCATCATGCTGCTTTCGTTTGGGAGAGAGAGACGCTTTACAAGTAAATTATACTCAGCCGTAAATTTAGACTGAGGGCGGTATAAAAAGCTGGCATGTGTACTCCGTATATGTGTATAAAATGATGATTGAGGCCTAGCCGCGGCTTGAGGATTCGTTTGAGTTTTGCTTGGCCAATTGGCCAAGTAAACGCCACGACGCCAAGTAATTTGTACTTTCTCCCGGCCAATGTGTACTATGGTTGAAATGTCATTGTAGTGCTACTGCGTATGCTCTAGTGTCCGGGGATGGTTAGGCATATAAGATGGCCTGTATATTGATACATTCGAACCGGGTCTGGATTCATGAGTCGACAGGACCTGAGACCCCTCCCATCTTGTGTTGGCAGGTGGACATCTGTTGTAATGTGTTGTGAATCTTGGTGCGTTGCTGTTTGATAGTTTGTCAGTTTTTGGTTCGACACGCAACACAAGCTGACGGCACGGCAGGAACGCATTAAAACCATCCGATTTTTATAGCGTCAATGTGATCAACATGGAAAAAAGAACACTCGCCAGACTACAGAGACGTCAATCCTATAAGATATTCTTTTGGAAGTGTTAGAATAACATGGCAATTGATGTGTTTATCGTTTCTTAAGATCGATTAAATCTTGGTTTAAGACTGTCCGAACCAGTCTTTTTCTCCAGGAAGGCCAATATTAGCCAATCTCGGGCTATCACTCCATCACTTTTCAGAAGTCTATAAAATTATAATTAGTAATGAAGAAAGCGATACAAACCTCCTATCATACTGCCATATTGGCTATGAAATTGATTTCAAATTAATATTTACCTTCAAACAATTTTTTTTGTTGGATCCATGGAAAGGATCGTAGGGGAAGTCTACCATGCTGCAGGTGTAAGATATATTATCACATACGAACGGCAATTCCGTTTTCATACGGCAGAAATGATGGAGCAATCAATATTAATCCCGGGAATTGAAAGATATTCAAAGGCACGTAAATTTGATATCCATTGCAGCTCAATCGAGGCTATTAAAATCCAGCCCAGAAGATTACATAAACCTATATTAAGATGTATGACGGGCGGGGCTCTATAGCTCTAAGCCGGGCGGCTTACTATCAGCTTCGCTTTCTGGATGATACCGAGCGCTTGGGCTCGCGAGATGGATAATATAATGCACACTTACTTGGACATACTATATACACCAATACTCCAACACCGTTATAAACGTCTACTCCGGGATGCATCGATATAGGAATGCTAAGATGGCCATCCCATCATTCCTCAATTGCAGTTAGAAGGCCTGTGTTTTTGGTATTCAACAGCGAAAACTATATATAGGAAGCGGGAGAGGTGGGCGGCTATGCAAAGAGCTATGCAACAATGGCTAATTGATCATGATCCCAGTACGCACACACACACACACACACAAACACTGTGCCGATATAATATCACGATTGTGACAAAATACGATTTAGCCTCATCAAACAATCACAACTTCAATCCAACATGCAACACGGGCCAACTTCAACATCTGGTGCTATATTGAGAAAGATCTAGATGATTGTCGGGCAAAACATCCCAGGGACCTTCCCAACTCGTCTCCCCAACTTGACGATTGCGGACACCGAGGTCAGCCTCGAAACTCGGATCTCTTGCATCTAAAGTATTGAATCGACCGCTGTGCAGGTGCGGAACAGGTCAAAACAAAGAACATCGCACCCCGCCAAGCATAACAAATTGGTTTACAACAGAGGCTCATGCCTGCCGCCCGCACGCATGCATGTGGCTGCCAAGTCTGCGGTCCAGGACCCGTCGCAAGGAATGCGCAATTGAATTTACAAGGTGGCGGAGCCCTGTAAATGATATATCTTGTGAAATGCTCTTTACGTTCGAAGACATGTCCAGAGGATTCCTCATCGAAAGTGCCCCGCAAATGCAGGCCTGAGGCGGCAGATATTGGATACCAACAACAGACAAACTTAAGCCTTCTCAGTGCCTGTTAAACGTTAGCATCAACGTGTGCCAAAAAGTACCAACTACTTTCCGGACTTATCTAGCCAGCCCCTGCCCTGGAAGGGTTGTCCATGCGACCTACGCGCCGAGCCATCTTTTTGCCCTCTCGATCACTCGGCCTCTCGAATTTCGTTCTCTAACTTACTTACCTAAGGGGTGAGCCCCATCTTGCCAGAAACCTCAAAAGCCAAGAAGCTGCTGGATTGGATTCTTGTCTCTGGAGCTTGTTGTTTTGCCTCTATGCTTTCGATTTGAGTTTTCCTGTTTGGCAGACGATCTCGATAGTCCAGTCTAAGTTTTCCCCCGGCTTCAGCTTCCAAGGGCCCCTTCGTCCTCGTCCGATATTTTCATAACATCAGCTAAAATCGACCTTTGGCCTTATCGTCCTCGTTTCAGCCTTTACCCAAACTGGACTGGTTGGACCTCGTACTTTGGAAACTACATCGATAACTATTCGTGCTGGATATCACAACTTTACTTTCGTGCATTGTTCTCACAAGAAGGCAACGAACGGCCTGTGCTTTCGCTTAATTGCCTGTATCGTGACCTCGAATTCTGCAGAATCTCTCGCTGTCCTTCAGCACCGGCCTTTAAGGCTGCTCCAACGAATGCGAAACCCCTCCGAGTTGTTTTTATAGTTTCGCACCCAGATTATCATGATACCTTGAGCCGTCTATGTCAGTACCCTCCGGACTTTACCAACAAACGAAACCATGGAGCCGTGCTGACTTGGAGTCGGCAGATTATAGTGTTACTTTGTGCATTCAAAACATACGACTGCATTCCCTAGATCTCGGACTTTCCTTGGGATCACGGAGTCAGTGGTTTTCAGATCTTTAGACCAAAGGCCTTAGGCGGCGATCAATAAAATGGACCAGCCACGACCCCATACTTCCCATCCAGCCGTCCCAAGCACACCTGGAGGTTATCCTCGAATTGATACTCAGATGGCAAATGCCGCATTCCAGAATGTCCCGCCAGCATATACGGCGGCAGCACCGGGTACCTTACTTATACCTCAGTATGACCCTTCGCAACCTGCGTCGTATGCATCAAGTCCGATAGTAGGCCCATCTGGAAGACCGAGAGCAGCGACAAATACCGAGATACCATCATCAAATCTAGGGAATCTCGGCAACATGACGCCAGTGGCGCTTTTCTCATCGAGTGCACTTTCAAGAAACCCACCTCCACGGCCTCAAAATCCCACAGGACTAAACCCTTTACCTATGCAACAACCGCGGCATGTTTCGACACCGTTGCACTCGAACCCCGATGGTACGTAGACGGAAGTGGCAATCAGGTTCGGCTTCGCTAACTTAAATGGTGCAGTTTCACGACCCCTTCAACCAAACGGCTCAAATCCAAACCTCCCATTTGGTATCCCACCACCTCCCCCTAAAAACGAAAATACTTGGCAATCGACTTGGGGTAAAACACATGCAAGAGAATGGGAAAGCCGACCTACGATTCAGACGACGTTCCAAAACACTTATCACCCACATGGGATGCCCTACCAACTTCCCGGGTCACCTCTCACAGCGCAACCACCGTCTCAAATCAACTATGCACATGCCCCAATACCACATATCCCGCCGCCACCATCACATCCGGCCCCTCCTCTGCAGAGTAACCAATCCCTTCAGCCATCACAGCTCGTTAGAGAAGCATTTCATAGGACTGATTCAGAACCTTCCGAGGCATCATCAGTGTTCTCGAAGCCAGAAATAGACGAAGCTATGACGCCTCTTACTCTTCACACTCCTTCTTTGACACGGCATCCGCATGTTCTACCTGTAAGAAGCGAAACCCCATCCTCATCTGCGCCGCTGTCTGCAGAAGATATCGCATCGTGGACGATCGAAAAAGTGACAACCTTTCTGGGCGACCACCATTTCGCAAAGGAATGGCAAGATGCGTTTCGGAACCTGGACATCTTTGGCAAAGAGTTTTTGCTTATAGGCCAGGTTAATGGCTATAATCTCCTATATAACTCAATCTTACCTGAAGTGCAGTCTCTATATGGCCAATCAGCAAAACAGGATCGGGAACGCTATGAAGCACGAAGGCTCAAGAAACTGGTGCGCTCTTTAGCACCCGCTATAGACGAATCACCCGTTACTGGATCTTCGTCAGCGCCTGATAAATCACCAACTCTAGCGCCGTTAAGCCTTATAAAGCGCCAAAATAGAAATAGCACGATCCCACCCGGTAGTGACTGGGCTGAGCAAATGCGTTCTGTGACACAGCCTCCGAGGACTAATATCACCAAGTCAGCACTATCTTCTTTAGACTTTGGCGGAAGACGGCATTCGCCAAGTAACTCTGATGTGTCGTTGCCACTGCCGAATGCGCCTGCTCTCCAACCTAATAGTAAACCTTCTATACCTGGATCGCCTCAATCGTCCCCATCTCCTATTCATGCCACACTAGTCCCACGGCATGGCTATTCGAATTCTACAGATTCAACACATTCGAGGCCAGAGGGTTCTCGATTAGTTAGCGATAGTATACTGACGAAGAATCGGCCAAAAGGGAGACCTAGTTTTGGACACGACTCCCCAGATATTGGGAAGGAGTCAGTCAAAGATCGTGGAAAAGCAATACTTGGTAGGATCGGCCGCTCATGGGGTAAAAAACAAAAGGACGAATTCGATGAATCGCCAACTAGTCCAAATCAATTTGGAATGCAGCCTCCGAGTATGCCCTATATCAATAGCCATAATAGAAGCGACTCGTCTTTGGATAGGCCGTCCTCTGCTACGTCTATTATGTCGGAATACGACACAAAATTCCGAGGAAGGGGGTTGCTCAATCCAGGACCTTCGGTCAAAACGCTTTTGTTTTTTGTTACGACTAACGGCAAGCAGTTTAATCTCTTGGATTTAACTCATGCAAAAGATGCGGATACTGTTAGGAAACTGATATGTCATGTCGTCGGGATTGACGACTGGGAATCAACTAAGATTTACTTGACGGAGGTGGGACAAACCGAGCATGGTAAAGTCATACATTCTCGATAATCGGAGTGAGGCTATTTTTCTAATAACAAATCAAGAGGCACCTTTGACGGACCAAATGCTCATGTTGAGCCGACGGCATGGCGACAACCTTGCATGTGTCAAATTCTATGTCCAGGAACCTGCCCCTCCACCCGGGGGCAAGATCATGGGCCTTGGAATTAACACTAGCGTCAGTGGGTCGAATTTGCAGACACCGATTGTTCGCGCGCGCAGCCAGTCGCCTGTACCACCTTCACCATCACGCAAACAACACGACGAAGGCACGTTGACCGCGTTAGAAAGAGGTAGAATATTGTGGCCTGAGGAATCCCTAGAGAGAAACGATCCTCAAAGAGCGGCTTCCACGGGGCCGAAGATCAACATCACAGAGCCGATTAGCGCTCGCCTCAACGCAGAGTCGATAGACACCGCGTTGGATGATATACGATCGAGGAGTCCAATCAACGTAGGCAATGGGTTTGGTAAGAAGACTCCCTCCCATTCGAAGGCTACTTCGATAGACCTTCCCATCCACCCTTCACCGGGAGGGGAGTCAACACTGCCATATCCAGATTCCCCGGTGTCTGAAAAGACGTCAATGGTACCCCCATTGTCCATGCCAGCGGAACCTACAATGATACCTCGCAAGGCAACCCCACAAAATAATGCGACCATGACTTTCGGTGAGCTCCATAAGCAGCGTACGATGACCATGGAAAATCAAAAGTCTAAAATTAGGAGAAAAGATCATAGCATTGATGATACAAAGACTACATTAAGCTTCACCAAAGTAAGCAGTCATGTTGTTGATTTTGACCATCCTCGAACTTCGCCGTTCGAGGATAAGAGGCATTTCGAAAACGATGTCAAGCCGGAGAGGGACAGTTGGAAGCCTCTCCGGAAGCCTCCGCCGCCTCCCAGTGTTGAGTCCAATACTCAGCGGGGATTGCCGTTGTCCTACAGAAAGCCAATAGTTGATAAGAACAAGCCATCTAGGAAGAGAAGTGTGAATCAAGGGAGAGGAAGCGTAGCGGGGAATCAAGAGATGTCGGAGAAAGGAAAGAGACAAGGTCTTCAAGTGGATGCGATGTCAGCGAGCGGAATTGCGGCTTCATTGGCTAGTGCGGGGCTTCAAGGTGCTGGCTTTGGAATGACTATGGGAAGCGTCAAGCCCGGTGTGACCAGGAAAGGCACGCAGGGCTCTGATGCTTCTAGTAGCAAGTCCACCCCTACCTCGCTTCCGCCACTGACGTTGACATCAGGAAGAGCTATGGCGACAGTCAATTTTGACAAGGTTGGCGGCGGAAGCCCAGGTAAAGGTGGGAGCCCAAGCAGTCCAGGTTTCACATGGGGGAAAGGAAATATGCTGTTCAAGATTCCTGACTATTCACAAGAAGCATCTCCTGAGGCTATAGATGGTAATACTACTTCGTTCTTACGGCCTGATTCGATGTACTGTGGAGGGGTCTCACCCGCAATAAGTCCTGGAGCCGAAAACCCGCCACCCCTGCCCTTCAACGCTGGTGATTTCCACGATCTCGAAATTAAATTTACACAGACCCCAACAAAACCTGGAAAGGATGACTCGGACGACGACTCGGATGACGGACTCTTCCAAAAACCACTAACAAGAGAACAGAAAGATTCCTCTGAGAGCCCTGTGGAAAAAGCCGACTCATTAAAAGGAGAAGCTTCACAAAATGAAGACGATTCTGGAGACGACAGCGACGACTTCTTCCAAATCCCTATCCCTGGACGTGGAAAGAAAAGCCCGGAGAAACCCAAGGCCAGCGACGACGAGTCAAACACTATTCGCAAAACTGTTGTATTCGGATCCAAGGATTCTTTTATTTCGCCAATTCAAAGCTCTGCAACCCCCGGATCCGACGAACGAGGATCTTTGTCATCACCCTTCCCGGAGTACGAACAAGGCGACGATAACGTTAACATATCGCCTTCACCAATTAAGAGCCGATATCCTCGACCGGAATCTTTCAACGCGGATGATACTAACGTCTGGGCTTCACGTCCCCCTGCGGAGACACTCGTTCACCATCTCGACGCATACTTCCCGGATATTAACTTGGACGAACCTATTATAGAAGAAACCGCCGTGGTAAACGACGCTATAGCAGAAGAGAGCAACTCACCTCCCGCATCCCCACTTCCTAGTACTTCTAGTCATTCCACCACGATGAATGCCCTAAATCGCAGGGCAAGAGAACAACAACCACAGATGGTCACTGCATCTGAGATTCTTAGTAGAACTGCTGAAAAGTCCCTCGGAAAACAGGGCCTGGGTAGGATGAAATCTATTCGTGAGACCTTTAGGGAAGCACATGACATGAAGCGAAAGGTGCCAAGTATTATAGGAACTCAGACGGGTAGGAATGTCCGAAACAGTACCGTCATGAGGAGAAAGAGCACGAAGATGTTCGGCGCCAAGCTCGTAGAGCTTCAGGCCGGTGCACACGCAAAGAAGATTGCATCTATCGCAGCTGCAACTGCTTCGCTAGATAATAGAAGTGGTATTAAGAGACAAGGTAAGTGAAGTCGCCTGCCATATTCAGGCTAAATAGAGCTAATGTGTCTACAGCCACCTTCAAATGGTTCAAGGGTCAACTTATCGGCCAAGGAACCTATGGCAAGGTCTACCTGGGTATGAACGCTACGACCGGTGAGTTCTTAGCTGTCAAACAGGTAGAGGTTACACCCAACGATTCGCGCAAGGCGCTCATCAACGCACTTAACCAAGAAATCGAGACCATGAAAGATCTCGATCACGCAAATATTGTGCAATATCTTGGTTGTGAACGTAAAGAGCTGTCCATCAGTATTTTCTTGGAGTATATTCCCGGTGGATCGGTTGGGAGTTGCCTCAAGAAACATGGAAAATTCGAAGAATCAGTCGTCAGAGATTTGACAAGACAAATGCTTGACGGACTGGCATATCTTCACAGAGAAGGTATCTTGCACCGAGATTTGAAGGGTGATAATATCCTCCTCGATCTCGATGGTACATGCAAGATCTCCGACTTCGGTATCAGTAAGAAGACCGAAGATATTTACGGTAACGACGCTTCAAACAACATGCAAGGTTCTGTCTTTTGGATGGCTCCAGAAGTTGTCAACCCGAAGAAAGGCCAGGGTTATAGTGCCAAAGTCGACATATGGTCTGTCGGCTGCGTCGTGCTGGAAATGTTTGCTGGCCGAAGACCATGGGAAAATGAGGAGACAATCGGTGCGATTTTCAAGATCGGCTCCGAAAAGAAGGCCCCTCCAGTCCCCGACGATGTCTCTCAGCACGTAACCCCTGAAGCCATCGCCTTTATGGCTGATTGTCACACAACGTAAGTCCTCCCATATATTCAAGACGCAGATCGATCATCAATCCATTACCACGAGGACTAATAATTGGCCTTTATTCTAGCGAACCTTCTGAACGACCAACTGCAGAAACTTTGCTTACACAGCATCCATTCTGCGCCTTTGATCCTAATTATAACTTTTTGGATACAGCACTGTATCATAAAATCTATTCCTTTGTTAACACAAGCGTTTGAGGAAGCAATCTTTAGCGATGTGGATATATTTTTTCCGTTCTGGCCACTTTGGCAAAAAAAGCGATGTTATCTTTCCCACAAATATTTTTCCCTGTATTATTCCGAATTCTGCTGTACCTATATATGCGATCCTACGCCCTCTTGTTTTTTATGCACTCGAATTCCCTGTGCTTGGGGGAATATAGCTGGCCTTTCCCAGCAAGGACCCCATTCCTGACGGATTAACGGAGTATGGGAGACATTGGGTAATATAAATATATTAGCGTGGTCCATGGTGCAGGTCGTTCATAATTACCGCACGATCCAAAGTTTATGCGAAAACGTGGAGGAGGCAAAATGAATTGATATGCTAAGCCCATCTAAACATAGCCGAACCAAGATGCAGGGTCTTTTCTATGCCGCCTATATAGAAGCACTTATGATTGTATGCAGGCCTGAAAACAAGGGAGGCTGCATGCTATCGTTGGTGTTGAATTAGCACCGGTGCAGCATATATGATGCTAAAAACAACGGAATTGCGGCACTTCGACCTCATTAAGCCATCTAGAAAACTGCCACACTTCCTGCATACCCTTGTGGTGGCGTCGATAATCTGACATGATAACATGATTTGATCCGTTCTACATCGTATAGAAGATATAGAAGTGGCCGACCAAGAGCTGTCAAGCTTAGGCTAAACCATGACGCATTGACAATGTTGGAATTTGAACCTCTCTTTCCAAGAACCTCTCTTCTTTAATCGAGCCGAGTCCCACTAACACGAGTGAAACGAAACAAACGAAATCCCAAGCTCACACCCTGGTTACGGATCATGTCATATCAAAACGATGGACCCCAGTTCCGGCTGCAGACACGAGGATCGATTACAGGGAATTTCCAACAGTATTCGTTCTTCGCCAAGGTATACCAAGGATACATATGGGTCCGATGCCCGTTGTCTTGTCTGAGCTTGACGGCTTGGGATTCCATTATTCTGGGTTCGGAGACTGCCAAAAGTAGTATTCTGATGGGGTATTCCATACGCTTCAGAATCAGGCGAAGTTGTGTAAAGTGGGGCGATAATTTTCATAGAAATTTCAGGAGTAGGCGGGATCCATTTTTTTTGTGGCTGCAGATTTGTATTGGGCTATATTGTGGTATTGCTTCGTACGGCAACAGGTAAATCGGAAAGGGGTCACTTGCGCCGTGAACATTGAACCAAGGGGTGTTAAAATAATAAATTGTGAACAGGAGGGATATTGGAATCTTGGGCGTTGGTTAACGAATGTATTTATCGTCTTGATTTCACGGCGGGAGGCTCGAGTGTCCATCAAGTTTGTCTCTTTTAGTTTATTAACTTCGTGGAAATCTAAATTTAAAACGCCATTAAAATATTCGGGTACTCAGTCATTTGCATGGGAAAGCTCCTCTGGCCATAGACTGAATAGGGACTACGAGGGTATATACGAAAAAGTTCACACATATCAATATTTTAGTTTTATGTCTAGAGCACCGGAATGTCAACAAAAGAGCACCTTTCATTAGACACTTCGAGTTCCTTCTTACCGACATGGTTTCAAAAGAGATCCAAATCCAAAGAACGATATGAATACAATTTGGAATCGGTAATTCGGTGGGGTTTCACAAAGTTGTGGCCCAATATACACTCTTTCCTCATCTTCCTACTCCCGAGTTTCATATCCAACCGATACTCGAAGACGCCGCCGAGGTACAGCTTGAAGTCGACATCATGGCTAGACGGCTTGCGAGGCATCGCTTGCCTTCTCGTCTACAGTTACCACTTTCACGGCTCGTGTTTTCCGACCATGAGAGAACCTTGGGATTATAAAACGAATAATGGTTATATCGCACTTCCTATAATCCGAATTCTCCATAGCGGCGATACTATGGTCGCAATATTTTTTATCATATCCGGGTTCGCACTATCTATAAAAAGTGTGAAGACCTTGAAAGGACTCACATCGTTCGAGAATGGCCATGCACTATCAAAAGACCTTGCGAGTTCTGTTTGCAGACGGTACCTTCGTTTGGTCTTGCCTTGCGCAGGAAGTTTCCTTATGGTTGGCCTGTTCGCATCAGCTGGGTGGTTTGAAGCAGTACCGTATAACAGAGAAAACGAAACTTGGTTACGTGGTGGGATGATCAGTCCTCGAGCACCGATGCAAGAGAGTTTTTACAAACAGGCCATCTGGGTTTTGGGTGACTATTACAAATATGCAGTAGATGTTGTTCTTTTCAATGACTCTATTGGGTATAGATGGGAAACGAACGTATGTAACCCCAGATTCATTAAGTTCGGTGGGTTCGACATGCATGCTGACTGGGAAATATTAGTCTCATCTTTGGACGATTCCAATGGAATTCCGCGAATCATTATACGTATTCCTAATGATCCTCGGCCTATCGAACTTCAAGCGTTGGGCACGGGTGAGGCTAGTCCTACCTCTCTGTGTGGTTATAGGGTTATACAACGGCAGCTGGCAGTTTGCGCTCTTTATGCTGGGATTCCTTCTTGCCGAAATACATGCGACATTGGAAGATGATGAAAACTACCTATCCCTCGGTACACCAAACGGCACAAAGAAGTCTGTCTATGATAGACACCCGCGAGTCTTTTCATTCTTAAAAGTAACAGCTCTCACCGTCGGATTATATCTCGGCTCTTACCCAATCCGTGCACCACTCCCACACGAAGCCTCGGGATTCTCCTTACTAACCGCTTGGACGCCCCCAAGCCATGTCTATACGGAGAACCATGGACCAGTCTACTTTTGGGCCGGGGTTGGGGCAGGAATGATTGTCGCCTCCATAGTCTTCCTCCCGGTTATTCAAAAGCTTCTCTGCTCGGGAGTTTGTCAGTATCTCGGCCGGATATCATTTTCTTTGTACCTGGTTCACGGACCGCTGCTTCAGTCGCTAGGGTATAGCCTTCTATTAGCGACATGGGGGGTAGTGGGGGTTGGAAAGCTGTTCGACTCTGAACGTAGTCCCAACGACCCAACGGACAAAGACGTACAGAATTTAGAAAATTGGAAGATTGTGACTACATGGTTTGTATTTGCAATCAATACGACAGTTACAATTTGGGTATCGGATATCTTTTGGAGGGCTTTTGACGCTCCCAGTGTCAAATTTACTCGCTGGCTGGAGAAGAAATTCATATGAGGTATTATAGAAGGTTTTGATTACAAATTTTGCATAGATGTTTGTTTAATACTTGCACAAGTTGAACTTGCAGAACCTGAAACTGCCATCGCAGTTTGGAGACGAATTAGTTATGATTACACAATTGAAGCTAGCTCCGAAACTAAGATCCAGATGTCAACGAACTTGTATCATCTGTTTATGATGTGTTGTAGGTGTAAAATGCAACGTTATGCACAGCGAAGTCTAAGTGATTAAAAGCGGGGAGTATGACAGATATCATGCGGTTGCTTGCTTCGGTGACTCAAAAGAGTCTCCCGAATTCATTTTCTATGAGTCGAAAGAGCGGCTCCGTGACTCTTGCGCTAACATCATATGCCGTTTGTGGTACAAGAACCCCAACTTGACCGGGGTAGGGGTGATGCAATTGGATAGTGAAGGATTGGGGCGCTGAGGGATGCCAAATCTCCTGGTGGCCTGAAGATTGGATGGAACTTATCTAGATGGTTCCATACATCTCTTGCATATCTCGGGTAATCTGTCTTATACTCTTTTTTGGGACATCGGGATGATTTTCTCGATCTGGTTCTGCAGCTGGCTGAAAGTTGGTTTGGGAAACCGAGTTTAGCTTTGGCTGGGGAAGCTGAAGAGATGTGTTGTTTTGAGGTTGAAGCAGGTCCAAACGTCGAGCTGTGCCTGTGCTACCAACTCTTCTAGGAAAAGTATTTAGATGCGCCAGAAGAACGGGGTCTTCTGGTTCTTGATATTGGAAACTCAGGTGAAAGCCATTGGCGACGAAATCTTCTGAATAAATTTTGTGTTCTTCTTTTTTAATTCTTTACTCTCTACTATCGATCTATCTTACACAAGTGCCCTTTTCTTTATCTATATCTATATTACCAATCTTTGAAACATCGTACATCTTTACCACATCGGAAGTGCATTACGCTACCATTCAACGTCAAGATGTCCGGATTTGATCACAGGTCCTATTATGAAATGCTTCGAGACTCCATGTCTGTTTCTTTGGTCCGCGCAGTCCTGAATAAGGAACTCGCTGAGTCCAAGGAAACAAGGCTTCAAGCCAGTCGCAATGGCGGAGAAGTCAATGCGAAGAAAGAGGCGGAAGATTTGTCGGACTTTGTTGAGGTAGGATATCTTAAACGACATCATTCCCCATGAGACCCCTTTGATTTTTTGCGGTTCTATGCCTTAAAGTTCACGCAATTGATTCGTTTTTGTTTGGTTTCTTTGATTTTGCTTTAGTTCCTTGCCGCCGATTTATTTGAATACTTCCCGAAGGAATTGACGGAAGTGACGTATGATTCGAAAACCGGGGACGAAACTGGCTGGACTGGTTCGATAGAAATGGCAGAGGGCTTCCTCAATAACTTGCCATCGACATATGTTGATTCGATTGTTGACGCAAAGCTCTTGAATGATGCAGGTTGTTTGAATCCTCCTCATTACTTTACATTTTTTCTAGCATTGTTCTCGTTCAAGTTCATGTGAAGGGTTTGAATTCGCACTGACAATAGTTTCCCGCGAACTGTAGAGGATGTCAAGAGAATGACCACATCGGTAATGGAGGATTACCTTGCTGCGGCGACCGCCCCGCCCCTTAGGTGGACAGAAACTAAACCGCTAGAGTGCGAGCTTTGCGGCAGGGAAGTTAGGTTAACGTGGGTATCCCTTCTCTTTTGCGTCTGTTCCCTGCAAATGATGCTACAGAGGCTAACTTAGATTTAGTTACCACCACCTGATACCAGTAAGGATCTCGCGCTTGCAACTTCAGAGATTTCCCCTGGATATACTGACATAAATGTCTAGCGATCTACACACGCCCGGGTACTAAAGAAGAAGATACATCCAGAATACATGCTGAATCGCGTCGGTAAGTTTTTAACCTGCTATGCTAGCTTCAGAGCTTCGATTTTGTGAAATGGTCGTAGGAAATGAACACTTTCTAATATAATAACAATCCTGGAACTATACAGCCTGGCTATGTCGACTCTGCCACTCATTTGTAAGTCCTTCTCTGATTATATACATGCACGTCCGAGATACCGGGAAGCTAATAGCAATGCTAGGTGCACCACTGTGAAGAAAACATGGAACTGGCTAAGAACTGGTACACTGTCGAGCTTCTAGAACAGAGGGATGACATTCAAAGGTGGATTGCATACATATCCAAACGCCCAGGGAGAACTAGGGTTAAATAAGTTCGCCTCGCTCCCTCGAGCTATTTTTGGAGGGGAATTTTGGGATTTGATGATGAAGGGAATTTGCGAGACAACAGGAATAGTACAAGGATGTTCTCAGCTGTGTGTTTTTTTTTAGCTGGTTGAAACCTGTGTATTGTTCGAGGCTTGACGAGGCTTGCCTTCAGCCGTAAATCTTTTCCAGGGAACTTGCGATCTCTTCCAACCAATAAATTGACCTTCATCTGGTCTTCCTCCACTAAAAGCGTTCTAGGATTCGTGTGATAAAATACCGACAAGCATCGTTGATGGAGCATATGCATGGTCTCCGTCCGATTTACTACATGTGGAAGCACTGTGCGACCAAATGATATGCGAAAAAACCTCAAAGTAAACATTCTCCGTATGAACATGCTTGGTGATAGTACCAGAGCAAACGTAATCTAACATTGGTAATCTTGATAAGCGTCTAACCCCGCCTGAGGCTCTGCGGTGTATATGGCTTCGTATTAAATAACGCCACCACTGCAGAGCAATATCTATGCCAACACACCCTTGGATTGTTGCAATTTAAAAAAACAGCTCGACGGAGCGTAGACGCCTTATAAATTTTGAGCCTCAAAAAAAAAAGAAAATAAAAAAGATTAGCGGAGCCGTGGACTTTTAAGCGACGAACTACAGGTTCTTGGACTATGAGGTGATATATTCGTGCGTACGAAATGCTGTGTCACATGCACCCTCGAAGGCCAAGGAGTTTCCCATACAATCGGGCACTCGAAATGGTACAGACCACATGAAAAGGTTCCACAAGGTCACAAGGCTTTCGAAGTTACTCATCTTTTCTTCCCTGTGGCTGGTCTTGGCTACATTTCGATGTCCCCTATGAAGATGTTTTCAAAAGGTTGAGCCTCGTGATGATTTAAATTTCCCCCCAAAATCCAACACAGCCAGGTTTGCTTTAGGACTGATATATTAAGCTGGCGCAACGTCCGGACTCGATATATAGGTTGATTCCTACTAGCATAGCTTATTTTGCAGGTCTGGAGCTATGGAACATGTCCTTAAAGATCGTGCTATGCCAGCGTCTATTTTTCTTGTTCTTTTCTGTATGTAGGACATCATCCAGCGCTGGTCTAAAAATGCAACAACCGTAGAAACCTTTGACAAAAATGCTAGCAAGTGCTAGCTATCGAAGGAAACAAAACCGCTTAAGTCGTTGACGAATAGAACTTCTTTGAAAACGGAAGAATAATGAATTGATAGCGCGTCATTTCCTCAATGCTCCTCATATTTTATGTCCTCTCTTCTCGCGGGCCCACATCCTTGACGCTTAAAACCCGGCCTGGTATACGTTCTGTTGCAACTTCTTGGTCAGCAGCCCTCGGGCGATTCACAAGGTCAGGCCCGCATGATACATGCAGGTCCCGGTATATAAAAGATAGATTCAAGAATTTTCAAGAAACCGCTGTCTGCTGGTCTGTCGCGTTGTCTCTTTTTTATATTTCATTTTAGGATCTAACCGTAGCAAGCCCAATCCCGAAGGTTATCTTTTTTACTTCAATTTCAATGTTCATCGATCCTCGATAGCTAGAACTTCATTTTTCTTTCTTTCTCTGAGACTCGCCTTCCGCGACCTATCCCTCGATATCTCGTCGACTATAGTTCTATGAAATTCTAACGTAGGTCCTGGGCGGTGTACGGTTGCCTGTCAATAATAGGACAACATCTACTACCTAACATACAGTGAAAAAGAACTCTCAAAAGAGTACTTAAAGGCGCCTTCCAAAAACGATTTCTAAAGATTTCTAAACTCATGGTAAGCATAACTCGACCTAACAAGCCAAAAAGTAATTATAATAAAATACTTCAGCTCAATACGTATACATAACAAGTGATCTCACCGTACATAAGAAACCTTTCCTTTCCAAATGGTCTCTCTGACCCGATTCCTCCCTCAGTCTGCGGACCCGGGGGGATACCAGTATGGCGTCAACGTACTATCTCCTGGAGTCGACCCCGTTGTTGAGTAAGTAACAGTTTCTCCCGTCCCCCTATTAGCGGGTCAATTCTAATAGATTTACTTCTCAACAGTATTATTCTCGTTCACGGCCTTGGCGGAGACCCTTTCAAGACTTGGACTTATTCCGGCGGCAAGAAGGAACCCACGGTACTATGGCCCCGCGATCTTCTTCCACTCGAAATTCCGGAGGTTAGGGTCTTGAGTTATGGGTATGATACGAAAGTTACATCGTGGTTTGAGGGGGCAACATCGAATATGATTCACCATCACAGTGAGACGATGATTTCGAGGTTGCACAATTTTCGAAGTGTAAGTCAACTTCTTTTTCTTCAAAAGCTGTTTTTGTCTTTGGATTCGAAGGGTTTAATTGTTTTTTTGTTATGCATAGAGGAAAATCGATGGGAAGAATTCGACGGAACGGCCGATAATTTGGATTGGGCATTCCTTGGGTGGGATTCTGATCAAGAGAGTAAGAAATAAACTATCCTTCCCCAACAATTCGTACCAATCATAAACATTTAGATATCTAATTATAATACTTTAATTATAAGGCCTTGATATACTCTAACAGTTGTGGAGTCGACCATAACGAACGTCTTCGATCGATCAAAGTTTCCACTCAGGGGATCCTCTTCATGGGGACTCCGCACATGGGCTCCGATATAGTACGATGGGCATCACTCGCTCGTAAACTTCTACTGTTCTTCCCCGGTGTAAAACTCGATAGTACAATGCTGTCTATGCTCGGCCAGAACTCAGAAACTTTGCAGAATATTAACACCTTGTTCACCGGAATTGCGTCGTCGTTTGAAATTGTATACTTTTATGAGGAAATAGAGACGGTACTGCCTACTGGTCAAAGAGAAGTTGTAAGTAGTGTTCTAAATATAATAGCGAACCATCCATATGGTAATCTCTAACTTTATAACTGGGGTTGATTTAAAACAGATTGTACCATACTCATCCGCCATCGTCGACTCCCCGAATACAGAAAAGATTGGGATTCACGCTACTCACCATACGATGATAAAATACAAGGATGAATCCTCGCCTGGTTACTCTGATGTTGCTGGAATCCTTCGCCAAATGGTAGATAACGCTCTAACTTTCGCCCCGGGGCGCTGGGAATCTGAAAGAAGATCAGCTGTAGCCGCCACGGACGAAAAGATTAAGGAAATCCTCGTTCAGCGAGGTATGTTACAACTACTGCTTTTGAGTTTGGATTCTTCAGGAAAGTAAATTATTTTTAGAGGGCTGTGTTCTAATGGTGACTTATCCTTTTCTCTGGGGCGCATTGGGATTGTGCGGCAGGTGCTTCTGGGTTATATTTTGGAGCTCCAAGATCGATTATGCTAGGGAGCCCACGAAGACTATCGGGGTTTCAGAGTATTCCGGGACCTGTTGAAGTCGAAGAGATGGATTCTGGGAGTAGTATTGGAGCGGGGCCATCAAAACGTTAGTATATATAGATCTTTCCATCGGAGTTCTTCAAATCCGTATCATTCAAATATATCGTGTTCCTTCCAGTCTTGTACCTTTACTTGGGCCGTTTCCAAATCCTGTATCTGTTCCTTTGTGAAACCTTTGAAATATGTCCCGAGAATATGTGTCGAAAGAACAATGTACTAACTCTTGTTCTTTAGGTCCCGTCGTACCTCGACTTGAAGAATACTCCCCAGAGTCTAGTATAATACTTCCTCCAAGCCTCCCAATATTCGCCGTACCCCTCCACCCCAACGAATCTCCAGTTACCCGCGAATATCTGCTTCACGAACTCGACCACATTCTCTTAGCCGAAGACCGCCGCTCAAAAGGTAACGCAGGGCTTCTCCTCTGGGGACCTCCAGGATCCGGCAAAACACATCTAGTCCGAGAATATGTCTTCTCCCGCCGCTCAACCTACGCCGGCGGTATCTTCTGGGTTAACGCTCAAACTCCATCTTCAAGAATAGATAGTTTCCGACATATCTACAAGAAACTAAATCTTCCTAGTGCGGTCATGCAGGATATAACTACGCCGCATGCGGATCGCAGTGGATTGGATCTATGTACTTGTAGGGTACTGGAGTGGATGGAACGGAATGAGAATTGGTTGTTGGTACTTGATGGTGCTAATGCGGTTACTGAGACCGAAATTGATGAGTTGAAGGCTTGTATGCCGACGAGTCGGGGGAGTAGTATATTGTTGACTTCGTTGAATCAATCGCTGGATGGACAAGCAAGGTTGGGAGCACCGGTTGGGTTTAAGATACCACAGATGACTATGAAAGAAGCGGTTTCGATATTACTCACCGAAGCAAAGATCGTGGATCCGACACCACAGGAAGTCAAAGTTGCACAGGAGTTGGTGGAATTGTTGGACTACTTAATCGGTGCTATTCACATCGCCGCTTGTTACATTGCTGAACGACAGGTTTCGATATACGAATATTTGAGGGGGTACAAAGAACATCCAAAAGTATCTGGGGATGGATGGAGTCCACTCGCCATGACGTTGGATACGTTGGAGACGAAACATCCCGAAGCAGCAAATTTGCTGAAACTGATATCGTATTTTGGAACGGACATACCGACACTTCTGATTCACTGGGGGTTGGAAGCACTACCGGCTCAAGTAAGGGTTGTGGCGAAAGAGGAAGATGGCATATTCGATTTCAACCTTACGATAAAACATTTACTCGCCTTTAGCCTGGTACGCAGGACCCACCAAAATGAAAGGGAAGATGGGAAGGAGTGGAGGGTGGACAAGCTACATTTACAAAGTGTGATTCAGACCTATGTGAGGCAAAGGCTCAACAGCCAAGCAGAGGTCGGGCAGGCGTGGGTTAAATTCGCCGCTTTGGTGTTTAGACACGCTTATGAAAGGGCTGAAAAACAGAGAGGCGCAAACGGGAGTATCTACATCAAGGATTATGAAGAGTTTTCAAGACATGGTGAAGCACTGATGAACCATATGCGGGAGGGGAAAGTCAGCAGGAAGTCGATTCGGACAACAGTGGAAATGGCAAAGCAAGTGATCGAAGAACAGAACAAGGCCCAAGAAGCAGGGAAGTTGGTGGATTTACCAGTGCGGTCTATATGGGGTCGAACAGACACGGAATCCCCTGAGGCGGTTTATGCATCTCGAAGGTCGACATTTAACGACAGTAGCAGTGTGACCGGATCTTCACTGAGCGCCAGCACTCTATCCGAACTATCAAAGGGCAATGCATTTTCAGTAGGGAATAATAGCAAAGTCACCCAAGAAGAGGAGCAAAAAGTAGACAAAACCCCACCGGCACCAGCCGTAGTGGAACCCGTAGCGTCTGCGCCGAAGAACGATCCCCCAACTTCAATGCTATCCAGAGTCTCAACTTCTACCACAATTCAAGGATCCACGGCAAGTGTAAATATTGGGAAGCAGAGGAATAGGCTCCAAAGACGGCCAAGTCACAAAAGTTACAGATCTCGCAAAGGAAAGGAAGTCGACGAACAGTTGAGATCTCCCAAGGAAGCACCAGCACTGACCATTCCGACATCTGCCACCATTGGTACTCAGACGCAGCCAACAGCTATAGGGACGGCGACTATTAAACGACAAGTCTCTGCTCCCTATCCAATATCATCGCCTTCGGGAAACGGGGAAAATAATCCTTTCGTTATCCCCAGTTGGCCGGATTCTGAAAACTCGCCATTGGAAATTCCTCTCCCGCTACCGATGAATATTCCACAAGTATACACGAACGATCTTATAAGCCAGTCCGCCCCAAGCAACCTTTACCATCTTTACCAAAAGTCCGAACTACCGGTAAGCTAGCTATTAAGTCTAATCTACGATGCATGAGCATACGACTAACAATTGATTTGCAATCAAAGAACACAAACCCACCACCGCCAGCTCGAACGATCTCAGAACCAGTTAGAGATCCCGGCCCAAACCACCCCCTCCCGCGCACAATCCGGCGCCGAAAAGCCATAGACCCAAGCCCCACCCCTCCACCACAACCAAAATCCCCTCGCCTCGACTCTGCACTATCCCCAATACCCCCATTTCTATCCACAGACCACCATCACCTAGCATCTCCAATGGGCTATTTTTATGTCGTTGACCACCAAAAGGAAACCAAATATGGAGATCAAACAGAAGATGAAGAAGGTGAAAGCGATTTTATATCCGTTACCAGCGAGCCAGGTCCTTCTAGAATTCCTCGAAGAAATTTAAGCCCCAACCCTTTGATGCGCCACAAAGTACTTTACAATACCCCAGCATCAAGTACAGCAGTCGTAGGCCCATCAAGGCTTAAACCCCCAGCACCACCTTCGCCTTTACACTCCCGTTCCGAGATTTTTCTTTCAGCACCCACGAGCCCCATTTTATCACATATGAGTAGTTTTATCACCGATGATGATGACGGGGCGTCTATGCAGCCATCACCCGGCTCCCTAGTTGATCTAGCAAAAACCTTTACGTCAGCCTGGGCGGGGACTTCATTGAGAAGTCGAGGGTCATCGGTTAGTTCTTTAGGAACGATATCGCCAGCAGTGAAAATGGAAAAACGAAGGCCAGTTTCAATATCAAGAGAGGGGAGTCCGAGTCGAGGTAGAACCCATTGGAGGACTATGATGTAGTTGTTGAATCGATGTTTTTATGATATTTCTACGTATCCTGTTTTATGAGTTATGAATGTTATGATTTTGATGGTATTTTTAAATTCTTTGGGAATGAATTAAATGCTAGATTTTTTTACTATTTGTTTTTTTATGTTGTTGTATGAACGGGTTTGGTGGATTCTTCATGTAATTTCTTTTTTGGAATTGACTTAATGACTATGAAAATAATGACATTCTTTCGTATTTGTGGTTTGATATCAATCTTGGAATGCTGTTGTATTTTAGACAAGCATGCGTTGTCAGCATCTTGTGTCGTAGAAACCTCCTATCGATATCTTTAGTTTTCGCGCTCTTTAGTAAATTTTATTTACTATAAGTCATCCAGGACAATACTTTATATATACCTGATCTAGGTGTAGTCTATACCTAAATACAGAAAATACTAATTTATAGAAATAAAGTGGAGCACAGAGTCGTGGGGCCCGGTACAGGGCGTGCATTCGAAAAGGCAAGCAGTTTCTCGAGTCAGACAGTCTGCACAGATTATATATTACCCAGTAGATGTTTCTATGAGGTGAAGAGAGTGCGAAACGGATATATGGTAGTCGCGACAAAATCTAGAATAGTAACCTAATAAACCATGTGCACTTTTATACTTTTTTAATTGAGAGTTAAGGTAATGTGTAGACATCTTGTAAGTTTAAATCGTTGATCGGCCACTAACTCTCGCAAATTACGGCGTTTCATAGAGAAGTCCATTTCTCCCGATCACCAGTCTTATTACAATATTATAACCACAAATTCTTTCCCGCATCCTCCATTTTATCAAGTATCTACTATATACCCTAGCTACACGACCCTAATCCCGGCATATACTATATCCATCACCCGGCCATGTCTAAAGTGGCTTCGCTCTCTAAGGATATATACACCTACATCACCACCTCGAGTAACTTCCTTTATTACTTTAGCAAGTATGCGTACGCTCCCGATGACTGGCTTTGGTATTTCACCGGCACCGAAATTGAAGGTAGATCCGCCTTCACAATGGCGGACACAATCGGAGATAGTAGCGACTATAAGGGTTTATACCACCATGGCGGCACGCATTTCTACTATTACCTCGATGATCCGGACACCCTCGAGAAGCAACTGAAGGAGGCTTACATGGTTGGATGTACGACCACCCTCTGTCCCTCCCCCTCTCATCTCCCCCACCTAACCAGAAGACCAAAGCGACACATGGCGCTCTACGATCTCGTATTCAGAACGTTGTGATCGAGGGTATCTGCTAACGGTGCGTGTAAAGTGATCGATTGGGATAGAGGCGTGGATCAGCTTGGAAGGTTATATCTTATCGGATACGATGATATGAAGCAAATCCATCTTGGGAGGACATTTTTTGCCAGCGCAGTATACCCGGCCAGTCTTTCACATCTTGCGAGGTTGTACGTTGGGGGCGAGGAGCTGCGGAGAATAGTCCGTCCCCACCAAAGTTTTATGGAACCCGATCTAGATGAGGAGGGAAGGGCGAAGAAGAAATCCGATTAAGTGATTGTTAGGTTCGCGGGAAAGTTAGGTGTGGATATCTCGTGCCTAGGGTACGATAAACTGGTTCGTGGCTTTGTTTGAAATGCGGATAAATTTAAACAACGAAGACTTTAATTAAAGCTCCCCAAGCGTTTTTTTAGACCTAGATCATTTTTTGGTAGCATTTATTTAGCTAGTATTGTTTCGTTGAACCAAAATACTAATCTTTGGTGTCTCAAAGTTGTGAATCTGCAAGTGGGTTTCTAGCTGGCTTGGTGCCGGTGTCACGTAGGTGTTCTAGGTGCAGACGGAGACGATATGTCAGTCCCGTAACCAGATCTGCAGACAATCGATATATAGCGTCAAAATTACGTCTTTATGGGCATGCCAGTTCTGAGTTATCCACATCCCTCACCTGCATCCCACATTCATCGTTAGGTTCACCTTCAATCCCCAGCATCGCCATCGTCATCGTCATCGTCATCACCGTTGCGGTTGTCATTAAGAACTACTATTACCGCCACCGTTACTATTACTATTACCACTACCATTGCTTTTAAACGCAATGGATCCCACTGGGCCATCATCTGGGACCCCAACGGGGGTACCCGTACGGCTCCGGTACCCGATTTTCCCCCTAGGCCCTCGAAACCGCAATTGTACTAGAGACCATCTCTTGACCAGACTCTCTGGGGGGGACTTCAAAACGTCGAGGGGACAGATAGTCGACCAGGAGTACCTAAACGTGGTCCGGGGTAGTAGAATATTCTCGCGGTGGTCAAGAATGCTTTACTGCATAGTTGAAGTCGACCTCCACGTTCGTATTGACCCTTCAACAATGCAGGCCTAGACTGTAGTCTTAATTTTCAGTTGACTAATATGAAATTAATGTAGATGTCAGATGGGAAAGACCTAGCGCTCTCTATGAGAGCCCTAGAGAATTCAGTACGAATTGCCACAGGTTGGGACAATCTGGAGGCCGTGACGGTCTATGCTGTCATCAAACCTGCCATACTGTGGGCCGTCAGCGTCGTCATCGCTGTGATATTTTCGACGGTGGCGTTAATGTTAGACCACAAGGAGGCGAAGGCGTAGGCTGCGGTGAAGGATAATAACAAACCATGGAGGAAAGCACAGGCTCGGAGTTGATAATAGGTGCAAAGTGCAACCAGGGCCATTGTGCAGTCCTGGCTCTGCCGATGAATATATTTCCTTTGTTTCCTTATTTCCTTTGTTTCCTCTGTTTCCTCGTTCTTTTCCTTTCCCGCCGAACTTTTGCAATCTCCTTCGCGGCCGATTAATAGCCATATCAATTTTTCTTTTCCTTTTTACTTTTTACTTTATTTTTTTAACAAAAGAAGGGGAAAGGAAAAGAAATCTTGATGGTGACCCATCTCATGCCTAAATATCACAGTGACCTTCATGTAGAAATGCGTAAGCGTCTGTAAAAGCAAGACCTCATGAGGGGAGGGCGGTAGACACCGATAATCAGACACGTGATCTAAAATACTGGCTGGAGTTTATCACCACATGCTGAATCAAAACGTAGGGTAGATCGTTCTCCAGCTTAATAAAATAATACAATGTTTATATAAATTAGATAGAAGATAGTATATTAGTCTCGAGAGGCGGATATTATAAGTAGTAGCTAAGCTGAACGGGGGATAACACTTTGCACGTAAAAGGTGCGGGACAGATATAATTATAAGCAGTAGCGCTATAGCTAGTATTTATATTCTTCTTTGTGGTCGTAGATCTGAATCTGTACAACTGTATACAAGAGGAAGACTTAATCAGGGAAAAGACCTAAAACGGGTCTCGGTATCGGCATCCCTGCAATAGGTACTATTTGCTATTCACGCAGGATAGAGCGCCTAAGTGCCAAGTTGATTTCGATATTGATTCCCGACGGATGGTTACTAGAAATTGGTTACATTAGTCTCTGTACAAAATTTTAAAGCATATAGAGTATGTTTAGAAGTATATATCTCTCTCTAGATACTATGAAGTTACAAAAAAATTAAAAAAATCGGAGCTCGGAGTATGCATTGACAACGAGTATCTGCTGCGGACCGCAGTGCAGGTGTGGTTTTTTACTCCAACAAGCCGATATCGTGTAAGTACGTTCTAACTACGCCGGTCGTTGGTTGGATGTCAATTTAGCCGGGGCCGGGGAAGCACGATATAAACCAGATACGAGGATATCCAGTATCATGATATCAGCCGACCGTGCTGCGCCCGGTAGGCATCAACATTTGGAGAGCGAAGAGTGGTTTTAAATTATAAAATCTGCTAAGGATCCAATCGTCGAGGTAAGCTTAATTCTTATATGTATAATAGTATAGAGATATTGTGAGGAAAGGCTTTGCGGTTTTTAATGGATTGAATATAATTGATACATGATAGAATGACATGTACATGTTACACGACATAGAAGCTTTCTTGTGCGTGCATTCGAAAGGGGGCGGTGGCTATGTAATTTGTGAAGGAAGGAAGGAAGGAAGGAAGGTATGAAGTATATAAGTTGATGCTCTGGACGTGACGTGGTATTGAGATACCTCTCACTCATATTCTATCCCTTCTGAATGCTGAATCAATCTATTTCACTGTTAATAACAAATCTCATATCTACTTAAGTACCTAAGTAGGAAGTATCTATATAAATTTACATTTAGATCATTTATATTTATATTTATATTTATATTCGTTACCTAAACAGAAACCAGACACCATTTTTGCATTCCAAATCCTTCTTACACGGTATACACCCACCCGGGGTCCCATGTTTCATATCTCGTCCTAATTAGCCAGCTTCAAAAGATCAACACAAATTCGAACCGAGAACAGTCGCACGACATATTCGAAATTCGAAATTCAAAAGTCAAAAGATCAGACTAAATTTTAACTTAATTTATTATATTAAAAAAAAAAAAGAAAAGAAAGGAAGGAGGGAATGTGCTTCAAAGACTCCAATGTCGAGTATCTCGACCCACCAGCACGGCAATCGTCAGTTAAATCAGAAGCACCAACGATATTAGTGCCCCCGAGCAAGAATGCTGTAAAAGAAGCCAAAGCGGCTGAGAAAGCAGCGAAAAAGGCCAGACGAGAGGAGAACGCAGCGATTCGTCGAAAGATGATGTATGGACCTGGTGGTGGTGCAATGTACGGAGGACATATAGTATTTGGCGGCGGCGGATCTGGATGTTAGTGCCATCTGACTACCTACTATCCTATCACTTCTCGAACAATATATATTATATTATGATACTGACGATATCTCGATACGGACAATAGGATTGTTCCATATGCATACGCACATTGCATGCCTTAGCTTAGACATCTGGCGACACACGAGACGAGGCTCTCTCTACTTTCCATTCTACTTTGGTTCTCCTTTCGAATTCTCTTCTATGATTCGGTTCTATAATTAATTGCATACCCACTTTTACATTTCTTTGCCTTCGAATCGGCCACGCACGCGACTCATAAATAAAGATCGGACTAATCGTACCAGCAAATTACAAGAGCACAAGCTAGCTGCGAGCTGGAGATAATTAACATACGCAAGCAGGCGTGCGCAGGGGTGTGGAGTCGGTAAGGCTGGACCGAACCAGTCACAGCGGACTTCGCCACCCCAGTCCGGTACCAGATGCCATGCAGTTGGATGCATGACGAAGGCCCTCCACCTGGGCCTGCCTGCCTGCCTGCCTGTACTCTGTAGCGGGAAGTCGCATGGTTCCGGCCCCAAAATAGGTCCTTTTTATAGCAGTCGCTGGCCCGTATTTCACGGTTATTTGTATTTCTTTTGGATACAAACCATTTCCATATATCGTGTCGTATCAGATAATAACTGCCGGTTGTATTTAACACTACTTCAACCTGCGACCTGACTACTAATCAATCGATCATCAATTCATTCTCCTTCTCCTTTTCCTTTTCCTTTTCCTTTGCCACTGCATTGCGATCCTTTTCCTTTTCATTTTCATTTTCCTTTTGATCTTTTTATCCGTAGAACTATTACATCACCAATCCAATTTGAATATTCAATTCAATCCTGTTCTGTTATTAAAATCTAAGAGAAAGAAAGAAAGAAAAACAGAAAGATGGTGATACGAGCAGAGGCCCAATCCCTCGACACCCTCACCAGACTCGCCGACAACCCGCCGCTCCAAATCCGCCGATATCCTCCTCAACCTCCTCCTCATGACCCCCACGCTGCAGCTTCCCATCAGCTTAAACTCTACATCGTTCGAGTCCCAAACAGCCAAGGTAAAACTCTTAGTTCCTTCCTTCCTTCCTTCTCTGTCTAAACTACACATAACAAGCAAATCTCGGCATGTAACAAAGTCTCGCTAATGCACGATCGTATTACTCACAGATATCATCCTCACCCCTCTAAAACCCCAGTGCAGCACCGTCACCGCCCAAGATATCGTCTCCTGTCTATATTATCTACGCATCCAACCTGTAGAATCTCTTCAAAAACCTCGTTCGCAGTCCTTACAACCCGATAGTTATTCCTCACGTGGAACGGCATCATTCGATGATGCTAGACCTTCATACCCACGCGCTTCCTTCAGCGGTGAAAGTTCGCGGAGTGACCAGTTGGTCCCCGGCGGTTACAACAATGGCGTACAAATGAATCCTTCGTCATCGAGTATCCATTCCATGGGTAGCGGACCGATGCCGACAAGTACAGATTTTGAAATCACATTCATCCGAAGAGATCGTTTGACGGGTACTCAAACTACTATCGGCCGTATCTACTCAAACCATAATTCTCCATTGGTCGATATACCCCATATGCCGAATTCTTATGCCGCCCAGATGATGCACCAGGAATCTTTGGTGTCCAAGAAGGGTAGAAGGGATCGGAAACGGTTAAATCTGGAGGTTTATACGGATGGGTATAGGAAATTCGTGTGCCAGAAGCCTATACGGACGCCGGCGACGCTGAATGTTCCTGACACTACCCGTCCGTCTACCGCTACTAGCGATGGTGGCGAAAGCGTCAGTAGCCGTGGTGGGTATCTCTGGCCGGCACCGGTTCCACCTCCACCGCCTGGATTCGAAGACGTTGGACCTCCACCTCCACCAAAAGACCTGTTTGGGCCGCCAATGATGAGTCCAGCTATGTCCCGTGTATCCTACCAATCGAGGTTTACAGAGGTCTATTCGCCAGATAGTCCTAACCCATCAATAAGGCGACCGCGTCCACAACATCAACAACCGGAAACACCAGCAGCACAGAGTCCAGATATAGACGACGATTCCGACGATATCTTCAAACGTACGTTATTCCTCCAAGGCGAAGGATTCTGGAAATCCACCGGAAAACGTCTTTCCGCCTTCCACCGTCGAAAGCGTTCCGACTCCCCAGGTTCCCATAACCGATACCAACAACAACAACCTCAACAATCTCAATACACTGTCGACGAAGAAACCCGTGTGGCAATGGAGCAAATGGGTCTCTACTCAACTTCTCCGAATTACTGCCCACCAGGAAGTGGTTCCCCCGATGAAAAACTAGACAAAGAAACAAAGGGGAAAGGATACGTCTTCGAACCTCCACAAAAGGGTACAGGGACCTGTGAATTCGAAACGAACGGTGTCGGTCGAAAAATCAGATTAAAACTCCACCCACCCAGCACTATCGCCGGTAGTCCATTCGGTAACACCACGGTCGTAAAGGCCGACCCGATTCTCCTTTCAACCTTATCTTTACGTCCACCAGATGCGGATAGAAGTCCATCTCCTTCCGGAACTTCTTCAAGACCAGGTCATTCGAGAGGTCTATCGAAATTCAAGTTTGGAGAGAAGTTTAAGAAGTTGCAGAGGGAGAATAGTTGGACCGAACAGACGGAACATGATGCTGGGGGTGGGTTGAGGAGTAAATTGGGGAGTTTGTTGGTTGAAGGGGAGGGGATGGATGTGCTTGACTTGGTGGTGGTTAGTAGTATGGGTGTGTTTTATAAGAGGTATTGTGAGTGGTCGGAGGATTTGAAGGAGAGTGGTGGGGTTTAGAGAACTCCTATCTCTCGATAATATGAGAGGTTTCCGACTTTTTATCTCCAGCGTTTGAGAGTTTAAATCGGGTATGTTCTTTTGTTTATGGTGAGTTATGGGAGAGAGGGGATTCGCATGGTTTAAGTACTATGGCATCTGGTTATCCTTTTTCTTCTTCTTTTTTTAAAGTGTCGATATCATAAAAAGCGAGTTAGCATCAGCGACATGCGTACGCATGGCATTTTATGGCGTTTTATATCATTCGGAGTTTGGAAGGCTTCTTTGCATTGTCATCTAGACCAATCCATCAAAATTCATTAGTTTCATTACTAGTTATCCTTTTACATAGTCCTACAAATTAAAATGGAGATGCTAAATCCTATTCATACATAAATTACAATTCCCAATACCTATACACCTCCTATAAGATTCTTAGTATTTATCATACTCCGCCTCAGCCTCCTGCAACCTCTCCTCGATTCCTTCTTCACCCCACTCCTCATCATCCACCTCCTCAACCCTTTCCACAGGATCCTTATCTCTCAACTCCCTCCAATTCTCCCCATTGTAAGCCGCAACCTCCATATCACTAGGCCAAGCGCCCCACCCTTTCAACCGTTCCAAAAACAACTTCTTCGCCTCCTCAAACCTCGCCTTCCTAGCTTCCCAAACCCTCAATCTCTCCGCCGGATCTTCAATCCCTTCCAATCCTTTATTAAAATCCCACATTGCCTTCATAGCAATTATCGTCAATCTTCTATTTTTAATTTCCAGAAAATCACTATACCGTCCCATCCATTTCAAAAGCCTTATGATGGGTTCGTATTCCGCGTGACCCGTTCGGAGTAGTAATCTCATGTATGCGTGTAAATGTGCCGTACGGGGTATAACCTGCGGTGGTAATCGTGATTTCTCAGCTTCCAACGGAGATGATATATCGACCAATTTATCAAATATCGTATCTTCATCCGTCTTTAAATCCCCAAAACCCCCACTATCGTTATCACCATCGCTAGGCCTGACAGCAGCAGCAGCAGCAGCAGCAATACTTCTCCAAGAAGCCCTATTCCCTGGGTTTTTAAAACTCTTCTGGGTAACTTGTCGGATTCCTATCACCGATTCAAAGATTTCAACAACATCTTCGGTTCGGAATGGTAGTCTTTCGTGGAAATGTGTTTGGTCGTTAGTATAGGTCTTAAGTTGCTGTTCGTACTCCCACCCTCTTTCTGCCGCGATCGTGAATTCGTAAACAATGTTGGCTTCGAGGGGGAAACCCCAGTGTGACCTTATATACTCCCATATCTTCCTAGTACAGACATTGACATCTCGGTATTTCATCTTTCTCCGTGGGTTTCCTTCCCCAAAGCGGGCGGATGCGAGACGACTGGTAGCATATTTCGATAATTCAGATTGAAAGAGCCCACGGTGATGGTGGGTATAATTCAAAGCTTTGAGAATACTAGTCCAGGCGGTTAGGGAGGTTATTCCAAAGCCCGATGCGATGATTATAGCCTGTGGAACCCGAAGGAATAAAAGCCCGCTTGCGAAGTTCCAATGATTTAGGAAAGTACGATTTTTGCGAGGTGCAAAGGTGGTCGAAGTCAGACAGTGGATATAAGATATTGCCAAATCAACAGTTGCTGAAGAGGCATCTATGAAACTTGCATCCTTTTCTTCCTTGATATCCGCATGCTGCACCCCAAACTGGCGGATTCTGAGTTTTTCGAGCTCCTTACGATGGAAGACTTGCCACCATCGGAATTCAACTTTGCCCCTTTCGGTCTTGAAGGTTTGACGGCGTCGTGGGTGGCTATACCATTCTTCGAGGTATATGTGGGCTTCATTTGCGGTGGTTGCATTGGAAACTAGGAGTTTGGTGAGACTTAGGCTGGGTTTTATGCCTTTGCGAAGCATTAGGGTCCATAGTTCACTGACTGTGGGTGCCGGGGTTGGGACGAATGCGCCGCGGGAGGGGTCTGAAGGTGGTGGGATGATGTTCTTGGAATCGCCGATGCTGACGGTTGCTCTGTCTTCAAGATTTGGGCCTCGTCGGATTAGAGTTGGTCCACGGATTGTTGTGTCCGATTGTCTGAGGTAATGCTCTGTAGGATCCTTCTTGGGCTTAGGAGGTGCGTAGATGACATCGAGTTCCTCGCTCGGGGGGATAAATCGTTTAATCCCGGTTCTCACAGGGACAACGGCAGGTGCTTCCTCGACTGGTGATAAGTGTTTATCTAAAGCTTCCTGTTTCCGCGCCTGTACGATCCTTTCGAACATATCCTGGTACACGTGAACGACGCCAGCTCTTTCCTGCGAGGTTGTTATGATTTGATTGATGAATTGGAAGAATATGTGCCATGCTTCGTTGAGCGTCCTAGTAGCTCGGATGCGTGCTTGCAAAAGCGTAAACCGATTTTCTTCTCCAGTACTAGTACCAGCTATAAACCACGTGCGACGGGGAACCGTGGGCGTTCCGTCAATGTCACGACCGGAAAGGACCATTGCAGAGTATTCCCATGTTTGTAAGGGGTACCCAGCCCGTTGCATTTCAGATAAGACTTTGCCTGCCTCCCCGGTAACAGGTGTTTCGTGATCAAAGTCGATTCGAGTGTGGGTTTGGTCGTATCCATCGGTGATATCTTTCCGTGGTGGCCAGTTTTCGCCCTGATGGGCAATAATTCCACGTTCTGCGACGGATCGGGGAGCGGCTAGTCGGGTTCTGACTATTCCTCTGAAGCCTTTGGGGTCTAAATGCATCACTGGATTTGCTTGGAACATCTTCCTGAGGAGAAAGATTTGTGCGTCGATGATGAATCTAAGGGATGTCCAATACGGGCTAGGGATCCTTGGTGGGCCACCTATAGCCCATAAAATGTGATTGCAAAATATAATATCATTCATCGTGATCTCTGCCGGGGGGTCGATGCAATGTTTTGCATACATCTTTGCCACATGGGGTAACTGGGTGGGTGCATAATAGTTGGCGAGGCGAAAGAGTCGAAGAAACATGATACGTTTTGTGAGGGCATCGATTTTCAATTCAGGTTTATGCATGTGCTCCGCGATTTCGATGTTTCGGGTGAGGAAGTTGTCGACTAGGAAGGTAAGCCTTTTGATGGTGTGGGCGGTATGACCGGATTGATGTCTTAAGGTGTGGTTGAAAACGAATGACGGGACTCTGAACCTCAGCTTTCGACAAAGCCAGTTCAGTCTGGCTGTACCCTCGGCTCCGCTGCTAGCCAGGACCACATGTGCCCATAAGGCGATATCTCCTGGGTCGGCATTTCTTGAAGCGATGTACTTTAGAGCACGATCGCCTAGAGCAAAGAAGGTTCGGTGAAGAGGGTAGCCTTGTTGGTAGAGTTCCTCGCGTTTCGGCCATATCTTATATAGGATATATCGAACCGTCAGACCAGCACAAGAAATACCACGAGTTTCCGGGGGTGCCTCGAGTGAGATGCCATCCGAAGCGTTAGGAGTAAAATCGTTCAGACTTTCACGGCGAAGAGCTCTGTTTAAAGGATTCTTCAAGTTTGTGTAACCGAGATTGGTGGATCCCTTTTTAGGCTTTGGAATATCGTCTGCGCACCCGAGCAGGCGAAGAATCGGCAAAAGATGTTTTCGAACTGCTTCCGGAGGCTTATTCGCGTCGATGGGAACAGTATATCCAGGAACCTGTTGGACGAGGTCTGATATTTCGGAATCGAGACCAGGCTCGGGAGGCAGAATGTCGACATTGGGGTCGAACGGCAGACGGTCCCGATTAGCTGAAGGTAGAATGCATTTCGTTTGAATAATGAATGTTGTCCTAGCTGGGTAGAGGTAATTCCGGCCAATAAGCCTGCGAACTCTGCTTATTGCGGAGTTCGCGCCTGAGATCATCCACAAGGTCGTTTGATGGAGTTGCCAGCAGTTCCATTGATAGGATATCTTTGCTCTGGTTGTAGGCTATGCAATGCAATGTCGATATTTTATGTCGGCATTATAATCTCGTCGCAATGGTGCGAGATCTCAGGCCGTTCGTCGTTAGTTCCCCAGCATACATAACCACTGTGGGAAGTTAGTTGTGATTAAGAAATTGGCCTTGCTTTATGAACTACTTCTTAAGTAAGTAGTATGTAGAGGAATATGGGTAAACATGTGCATGGCCAGGGAATATAAATTTCTGATGTGGTGGATTTGGTGTTGGCGCCCGAATGGGAGAGTCGGATATAATAATCGGATATAGGGTACAGGCGGCGGTTAGAGATGAAGCTGTCGACAATTGACCAGGGCCAGCGAGGATGGGAGGTGAAGGAAACGCGCGGATGGCATCGCTTCCTCGCCAACGGGAGGATCCCGAAGCCAATGTTTGCTCTTGTTTTCAGGGAGTCAGCTCGGTGAGGTGAACGAGATATAAGTATATATCCGTATGCATCCCTGGTGCTATATTATATTATGATCATGTTAATATAATGCTTATGTGACCCCATCTATCGTGAACACTTAATACGAGTAACAGTAACGTATCAGATTCGATAGCCCAACAAACGTAAACCAGGCCAGGCTAAAAGCATATTATGCAATCTCCAGGAAAGCTAGAAAAAGGTCTTAGGAGTCCGGAGTGAGAGAGCTCGACTAGCGAATGAATTGAAGAAAAGAAAAGAAAGAAAGAAAGAAAGAAAGAAAAGAAAGAAAGAAAGAAAAGAAAAGAGACATAAGCAGAGGCATTAAACAGGAGTAGCTAGTAGAGTAGCATACATGTACTTACTTACATACTAGGGAAGTACCATGGCGGGCGAGTAAATCACCTTCATTCCGCCGTCGCCTCACCATACACAATATACACAGTACCTGAAGTGATCATGAGTTAACATTAACCTCTACATCGCGAATCAATCCATCCAACGGCACTGCTCCCAACTAACCAGACCTGGTCAGCATAACCAAGCACTCACTCACTCACATTTATAATATTATGGACTTGCGCTCCTCATGACAGGGCCTCGCCATGCCCCAGACCAGATGCGCGCAGGGGTATTTCCTGGCAGGCAAATGAAAGTGAGCGAAGTTCAAGCAATCCGGACAAAGAACGCTAGCCTCTTTTCCGTGCTTTTGGGAGGCCCGTCAGTTCTGGTCTGTCGAGACCGCAATTAATTTTCTTTTTCACAAGGGCCCTCCCGCTCCTGCTGTTTTTCTTTTCCTTTTCTTTGCCGTGCATTTTAACTGTTTCTCCAATTCTGATCCTAATCCTAATCCTCCTGCGAGAATTATTTTCATTCCATCATCTGTCCTCTTCCTCGGTTCATTTTTATTTTCATTTTTTATTTTTATTTTTTGATCTCTGGTCGTTGACTACTTTATTATCATTGTCACCCCGGTGAGGCTATTCGATCCCATTTGAATACTTTCTTATAGATTACATTACGCCCGTTACGATCCCTCCAGATCCGTTAGTTACGCGGGAAGCAGAACACCACACAAAAAAAGCCGACCTTATCGAGAAAAACGGTGCATTCGCAGGCATTAATTCATATCAATCCAGCTCGGTTCTCCGCGAAAGGATAGTATCGAGATCTTTATCTCTTTGAAACACGTACACGACAAGAGAGAAACGACTTTCTCCTTCTCCCGGGGAATACCTTTCAAATTGAATATTCGAAAAAAGAGGGGGCCACGAAATTTACAGGTTTTTAATTCTCATTCCGAACGCCCGTGAAATCAAATCGAGTCCAGTGGGGTTTTTTCCTGAGAGATTCTCAATCCGAACGAACGAACGAATCTGAATCTGTTAGCGTGGGAGGTTTCGGGCACACATCCATCGAATGAGACAGGGCCTGCGAATACGGATTCCGACGCCATCTTGGACGACGCTACTACGACCAATACCGATAGCGATACCGATCACGAATCACAAATCAATTCGAGGCCAATAATTAATACCGGACCCGATCCCATTTGAAGAAAAGCATTGATTGATCGGATATAACCAGAGTATATAAAATACGGTACCATCAGCCACGGTGTCTACCGCCGAGGAACCGTCGACGCGTCTTGGGACAGCTCTAACATTCTCGACCGCGAGATTGAAGGGCAAGGTGGACTCCCTGATATCGATGGCTACGACGGCAGCAGCATCAGCCCCGATGCCTCCAAGTAAGTACACAATTCTATAAAGTAATTTACCAGCAGCAGCGGCTGGATTGGCAGCAGCTCTCTTCTTTGGCGAAGTTAGCCGTTAGCCTTGTATTTCACTCATTCATTTTTGTGTCCTGGCTCCTATCTCCTCCCCGTCTTCCTAGCGTGTCTTTGTTCCCATTCCCACCACCTCGTTCTATATAAGCATATGATCCCGAATTAACTGGCTGGTTGGCTTGCTTGCTTGCTTGCCTGCACTTGTCTTGGATGACGGTGGTGGATGTGGTAATAGTGTAATGGTGGTGTGTGTGGTGTGCATGTGTATTATGTGCATTCAGTCGGTTGGATTGGAAAGAAAGTTGTGAAGCCAAAACAGTCCCCTTTTAGGTTTTGTCAC